GTAAGAAACGCTCGTAAGAAAGCATTTCTGATTCGCCACGTCTCGAGTAATTACTCAAACAAAATATCTGCTATAATATAGCATTTATGTACTTACTAAAGTTAAAAGGAATACAATTACAAAATTAATCATTATCAATATTTATATATTTAAACAGTTTTTATCAAATACAAGATAAATTTATTAGCAAATTTATTATGAAACAAACAAGTGCTATTACAGTCTGAAAGATTTTTCCGAAGATAAAAATTATATGTTATCCATTAAATCTATTACAAAATGTACTATAGAAATTAAGTACGTGATAGTAAGTATATAGTAGACACTGAAATTCTCGTCATTCGTTCCTTCATACTTCAATAATGAAAATCAGTCACAAGTTTACTAACTAGACCTGTAAATCGTTCTTCATCCATTTTAAATAATCTTAACTCAAACACAAACGATATTAATTAGAAGTGATGCCCCGAATTACGTACAAATACATGCAAAATCGAAATGAACTGTGACACTGCACTTGCAAAATCAGTTGTCATTGATATTATTATTTCTGACCTATTTTGAAACATGCCAATATTTATTTATTTATTTAGGACAACTTACAAAACATACACAAACAATTGGTCAAAACAGTAGATATTGTGGCTCGACTTTTTGTCTTGTTGCAATAGTTAAAAAGTTAAAGTAATATCACCAAACATGAAACTAATTAAAGCTTAGAGTTGTCTATTTTGTAGGTGTTTATTGGTAGTGTAGGTGAGACGGAGAGAGATAGCTTCCGTGTTTATTATTTGCGTTTTGCACTGTTTACTTAAAACAATATGTCACAATCTCGTTTGAGCTATGTATGACCTTTGAGTTTTTGATTCTGGAATTACTCGACGTGACGAATCAGAGACGCTTTTTTAAGAGTGTTTCTTACGAAAACCCGTACCTAATTCGTCCCCAAAAGGACTTACCAAATACGGTTTTTTATTCGCTTGTCGCTTAGTAGCTGGAAAGGCGTATCTAATTCGTCACTTCGAGGGGACATACTGTGTACGATATTTCTGTTGTTAGACCCTTAGAAAAGCGTACCGAACTCGTCTCTCCTTGGGGACGTACTGTATACGGGAAGCCATATACGCGGCGCTACATGAGCTAGCGCCGGCGCTGTCCTTAACACCTCCTCATAAATATTTCGTTCCATCCAACTTATCCCATTCTTTCAGCATAATACCTCAAATGCTACCAATCGTTCTCAGCTCCAAAACTATAAATCGATAAATTTTGTGGGTAATCCCTAATCATAAATAAAACACAGTGAATTTCAACTTTCCATATAATCATGTAAACATTTACCAATAAGCGTCTCACGTACAAAGCTGTTAATATCGCACAAACAAGACCGACACCTAAAGCATTCTCGACAGTCGTGACAACACAGACAATGTAGTTTATGTTGTGCACATTTCTTCCAAACGCGTTTTCATCATACCTACCAAGTTATTGTTAAATCTATTGAGATTCATTGATTGAGATGGTATACCAAAAGAGTTTCCTCCCATAAACTGCTCTACCGGAAATCACACAAGGTTGACTTTTTTTGCACGATAAAATAAAGATCATGATTCTCATAAGTACTTAAGTACTTCATTTAAATGAAAACGCGAGTTAAACCTATTTGACAGGTCAATAACAAAATTTATGAAAATATTGAGTAAATAGTTGTAAGACCTATTAAATTCAGATTAAGGTTTAGAATAGTGCGCAACATAATCAAGGTCACGTCGTCACAGTATTCTGAACGATCTTTTCATCAAATATTGTATTAAAATTATACTGTCTCATGAAAAGGTATGTAAAAATTGGTCAGAAAGTTAATTTAAAATAGGGTACAACATCAAACTGCGCTATTTTACTATATTATTCCCTTGAACATATTTATATGTCTTTGTCAACCATAATCAAGAACAGTCTCTATAATAAAAAAGGTACTTGTTTATAATTTAAATACTGAATTAAATTCGTTAGTGTAATTTAAGTAACCAATTGTTTCAATTGCGGAAATGGTGTTTTAGGACATGCTACGAATAAATCCCTTTTTGTACAAGCGTTTGTGTTTGCTACCACTACATACTAGGTAATAAAAGTTTACAACATTATAAACGTTGCCATGTTCTAGTATTTTTTCTAAATTTCTGCTTCGCTCGTTTCGAGCCACGATAATATTGAAGTCTAAGATATTTGACAAGTTAACAGAGATTACTGACATTTGTAGACGGAAATGCTAATTTCACGAAAGATCACAGTATTTAAAGGACCAGATTATTACGATTTTGTAATTTAATATGAAAATATATTTTATTTTTGATGTAAAAATCATGACAACTCTCTTAGTTTTACTGTAACTTGTTTTATCAACTTTTTTTAACCCGTTCGTGGGCAGTACTTAAATAGTACTAGTGCTGTACCGTTTTTCATTGATTCAATGTAAATGTCAATGTAAAATCATTGAATTTTGTCAGTGTGCTGTTGATAATTCTGTATGGAGGAGCAGTAGGCGGCAATTACACGGAAAGCACTTGGAAGCGCCCGTAGTCGGGTATTTTGGATCCACATAGCGAAAAAGGGTAGCCCATACTATCATAATATTCAGATATTTTACGGTAAATGCCGTTACTGTTAACGAACGTGTTAAATCTTAAACATATAAACATGTTTATTGCACCTATTATGCCTTACGCAACTCACGGTAACTTTCTAACTAACTGCTACTTAAGATTTAGCGTTAGAAAAATATTTGAAAACAACACAGAAACTTACTTGACTAGTAGTAATAATTAATTGGTTTAACAGCCAAGTTACCGGCGAATTCGCCTTTGACTTAACAAATAACGACAAAAGAATTATTATAAATTTTTGGTTCTAATGAAGAGGAGTAATCACTCGATCCATCACTTTTAATGAGGATTGAAATAGTATTGTTAACATGGTGAGAACTTGGCCTTTTTTACCATTTTCATTAGGACCAGGTTATAACACAGCACCGAGAAAATAACATATTATAATAAATCACAATCAACGCTCACCAGAGTTACAAAAAACTAAGTTTATAATTACTTTTAAAGTTTTAATAAGCTAATTCCTTCACGAGTTTCCCGTAGCTAAAAGTACTCTACATGTTAAGTAGCGTCTCTAAATAGGAATTATAAAGAGTTACAAAGAAGAACATTATAAAAAATACGTACGAAAAGTTTTCTCAAAACATATTCAGCAGTAAGTCGAAGATCTCGCTTAATTTATTTGGCGTGTATCTAAAACACCTGACACTTAGTGCTACTACACAAATCACTACATAAAGATGATAAAAGTTTAAATATGATGACTAAATATATATTATTTATAAATATATTAAAAGCTTTAATAACTCCTACTGAACACCAACATTTTCAGGCAATTTAAGTCTAACAATTGTTGTACTACGCAGCTTGTATCTCGGCCTGAATGATTTCTTATACATTTTAAACTTACATTAATAATAAATACATATAATAATAATCTCAAAATTTCGGATGATATAAATAATATATTCTTTGAGCTTTGCTTAAACTTGAATTATTATGCGTACATTAATCATTTCATAGCTATAATGTTGTATAAAAACGATATATGAGATTCTTACTTAGTCTCGTGATAGTGTTATGTAAAATAAAAACATCTATCCGTAATATTGACTATAAATGAAATGCGAGCTTTTTACGGAACTTTCTTGCTTCAATTAATTAAGTACTTAACTAGAACTTCTCCTTTGTAAAATACCGTCGAGATTTGATTCAATAATATTAACCTACATTTTTTTTAAATCTCTCTACGCTTGCACTACAACGCACACTTTCTGTCGTGTTTAGCAAGCTTTTGCCTTTAGGCGTAATCACAAAGCTTAGCAAATGTGACAAATGCATGAATGCATTAATGCATTAACAATCATAAATAAATAAACATTTTTTTTATGATACATACCTAACATTGTTTTTGCGTTATATGTTATCAACTTTGCAAACAAATAACAGCAGTAAATTTGAAAATTTCGTTACTAAATACTATATTTTAACTGTTATGTTCAACCTTAAGCTAAAATTACGTAAAAACGTTAGAACATCATCATTAAGTTCCAATAGTCGTCGCAGTATCAAAGGTACCGTGCTCGCGTCCCTTATTTAACTTCAGATTTATGCTTTGGCAGTGTATCATATGTGTATAGAAATGTGCAGCAATACAATATTTGAACTACTATGTTTTTATGTAACATACATATGGATACCTTACTTTCTCAAACTCGTATCCCTTGCCTAGCCTAGCCTGCAAAATTTGTATACTCAATCCATTTTTTGCTTTTTAGTAACTTTGTACTTTAAGATAGGAGTTTAAGAAAGTAAGGCGATTGTACATCGCAACAAATAGATATGTGATATAATTTGGCGATCTATAGAACACACAGTTACGTATACATGTGGATGGTTTTGTGATGATAACTGTTGAAGGCGTCAGGCAAAGAACAGTCACTTTTATTTATATTTGGTCGTTCAGTCCTTTAATAAAAATGTGCTTTATACGATGACCAGAAAATCCAATTACACTAAAGAGTAAGGCTAAGTTCAGATGACAAAAATTTAACGCGCGTAATTCATACATTTTACATACATCCATTCATATGCGGCGCAGTATACGTTAACGTGCAGTCACTGCGCGTTTAGAATTATAGGCAGGCTTATATCATCGGTGTTTTGAAGAAAGGGCGAAACCGGCATTTTGAAAAAAAATTCAGTGAGCATGTCTTAGGTTTTAACGACTGTTTTGAATTTACGTCCTGTTTTAAAATTCAAATTTGGTTTTAATTTTCTTTAAGTTTTAGAATTAAATTTATATCAAGGCATATTTTAAAACAGTCGTCAAAAACTAGAATATGCTCCCCTGAAATATTTTTTTTCGAAATGGCGCTTTTAACCCTTCTATTATGACAGTGTACCTGTTCAAATCAACGCGCGTTTTTGTCGTAATATGACGTTTTAGACGATTTCCTACTTTGCTTTTGCACCGTGCATTGTCTCTGGTCAATTGAACGTTTCAACACGCGACCAATGTGCATCCATCTGAACCTAATCTTAGTATCTTATTCTTTCCCTGACTCTTTGATTTTTTACCGTTTTATAACAAAAGTTTTACAAATATTACTTATTTTACACTTGCGTCGGCCCGTACTCGTCGTCGTCCGGCAGCTCCGGCGCCACGATATTTGTTGTCATATTGTGAGGGTCGTACCCACCGTGCGCGGCCAAGTCGAAGTCCGAGCCAGACATGGCCACCAGATCATGTAGATTCGACGGCTCTACATCCACTGCTTTTAGAAAAATGTTATATTAGAGTCATTTCACTGGTCAAAAAGGAAATATAGTTGGTGTTAATAATTCATAGTATGATTGTTATCTATCCTGTGTTTTGACATACACATATTATACTTGTTGTTTTGACATAATTTTCAACTGTATTTTTTAAAACAATAATATTAATGTATAGTACATTAAAGAGAAAACTCGATGTTTGGAAATTTGTGGTGAGCTCCCGTGCACCCATCAAACTGAACAAAGTGCACCAGTGTTTAATTAAATGATAAGCGTTGTAACCACTCGTGTTTTATTAACTACAAGCTTCAAAGCCCGCCTAATTAAAAAAGAAGCAGAAATCATATATCCCAACTTATGTGTAAATGATGTTTACAGACGGTAAGCAGGGAATGCTATAACCCTTCCGTCCAACGGTTATCTAACTACGTGATATTTTGAAGCCAAAGTGTTATTGCGATTTGAAGTGTGTTTTGAGTGATGCGTACCTTAAATTATATGTGTATGCCGGATGCAGTTTTTTGTAAGCAAATTAAGACCACACTGCACATATAAGCATACATCTACGTCCATACAAAAAAAAGCTAATTTTGTATGTGATCACACTTGTATCGCCACTAGGGTTCAATACAAACATCATTCATCATACATTGATACTATTTTGCATGGACGCCTTGGTGAAGTATGCTCATATAGGAAGCATAATCCTAACAAATGATCACCCCAATCATCAAAAATTATGAATATTAGTAATTATTCATGCATTTTCACACTTTTATATTGTAACTATTTTGATATCGTAAGAAAATATCTGATAAACGGGTAAAGTGTAGTCACCCGACTGGCAATTCAACTACACCTTACAACACCACTACAAAAGGGCAGTTGGAAAGAAACTTGCTTCCTCAACTACGTTGACTGTACGCGGGTTACATGCCAGCCTAACTAGCAGTTGGCAATCGTGATGTATCACCCAAATTGCATTCCAACTTTAATTTCGCAGTACTATCGTGTCAAACCTAAACTATGCAAGGCTGTTAGAAAGGAAAAAGATTGTTATTTTTCAATAGAAATTAGAGACGCACGATTTTTTGCTTTGAATTGATTTTTCGGATCGTAATGGATCACTGAATCGACCATAGATCGTACCGTATACCTTGAATTGATCAAATAAAAATCGTTTGAAAATTTATTTTGATGAAGAAATAATAATTTTAACAGCCTTTTTGTTTTCAGTTGTAACGACTTTCATTTAGAGCGTTATTATTATTAACCTAAAAAATTTTAAAAAAATCCCTTTTGCAGCTTTTCTCAAAATGCTAATAAATGCTTGATATTACAGTGCTTTGGTTTGACACGGTAGAGTAACGATGCTGAGATACTCAGATCGTGTGACTACGCTCTAAGTGGTAGTAGATGCCATCGGGGCACGTTTAATTATTCAATAAACAACTGTACCAATTTCACCTATTCACGTGCCCGGTAAATATTATTTTTACGACACAAAAAAGTCACCTGTAGTTTTAGGCTTTACCTTCATAACACAAGTAGCCTTTTAAAGTTAGAACTGCAATCCCCAATATTGTTATTCCAGCATGCTGTTATATAGAACTGTCAAAAACTCACACGTCCTTGGCGAATCACCCATCGCTGTAGACTTATCAATTTACTTATTATCAAAGCTTGCTTTAGTACTGAAACTATCGATTGCGAGGAATTTAAAACTTGAAAATTTTAAAATTATTAGGATATTATGTATGTATTTATCCAATTTCTGTATGATCTTTTTGGTTAATGATAGATTATTTATGCAAATTACTTAAATAATAACAAAACTTTTCTGTTAGCATATTGAACATATGTATTGTGTGGATACAGTTCGCATTACTGCGAACCTTGGTGGTTCAAAATGCGACTAGAAACATTGTTGTGTATTACATTTGAAAAGATAAATATTTTTTTTTAAATGAGCACAGGTCGGAACAGGCTATTCCAAATCCGTATTAGTATCCACGTACGTAGTAGAAGTAATAGATGTAATAAAACAAGCTATTACTTGTTTTTTTTATTAACCTATTTTGTCCCACTGCTGGGCTAAGGTCTCCCCCAAAATCCTCCATTGTTCCCTGTCTTTGACGATCTCCCACAACTCCCTCTCAAACCCATCAAGATCGTCCCGCCAACGCCTTCTCGGCCGTCCCCGCCGTCTCTTTCCATCCTCGGGCACCCAAGGAGTGACGACGTTCGCCCATTTCTAGGATTGCATCCCGCTAACGAGACCCGCTCAATCCATTTTAAGCCTGGCCGTTTTGCTTCCCACAGCAGCAATGCCAATCATCGAGCGCAGCCCAGAATGCTGCTTTCTATCGCCCTCTGGCAGATCTGATTTCTGGAACTCGGTCAGCGACCATGTCTGTGCACCGTAAATTACTTGCAGCTCATAAAAAATGTTTACTTTGGTGAAAAGTTAACCAGACAGCCTAATTTTTAAATTTCTCGCAAACTGATAAGACAGACTGCACTGAGCATGTATGATACAACCACAATACCTTTGCAAACTATATATCATACATAAATACGCCTTTATTGTGAACACCCATTTTGTATAAAAACGTATTAAAAATACTCCTTGTTTGTTATCCCTAGAACTTTTTCATATTATAAATTAAAAAAGCACTTGTTTGAAAGCCATTTTTACGGAGTTGTATGTATTTTAGTTAACTACAATTGTATGAAAGCTTTTTTCGCTCACAAAAGCTTTTAACATAGGGCCCACAACCTCCGCACACGCAATGTTTATCAAACATGATTTGTATTATAAGTACACCACATAACGTATACTATGATTATATATAATAGCTTCTTAAAAAACTGCAGCAAAATTTGTGCGGGTGTACGTACAAATACATACATTAAATTCAGCAGAAATTACTTGTTAATATCAAACAAACATTTTGTAAAACGAGTTCAAGTCGGTTTCATTGACACACGTTTTTTAGTAATCAGTTGGCTTTCTATTACATTCTACAAAGACTACGTTATACGGGCCAAAAAATATATAGCTAAAACGACTAGAGTTTAAATAATTAATATGTTACTTTCGTCATGTATCACACATACAACACAGTCCTTTTAAAGTTCTCGTTCACTGGTACATATTTCATTAAATGTTCCCAAAAGAATATGGACCAAAATTATAACCGGTCAGTCAATGAGAGAAAAATCAATCAACCGACTGCTTTATACACTATTAACACTAGGCTAAAATATCAGTATACTAGGGGGTCACCACATTTATCGATGCAGAACCGGCTTGAGTCTGTCAGGAAAAAAACAACTCTCGCTCCTTAACACATAAGCAAAAATAGCTTTTCCGGACCGGCTTAATTTTTGTTTTATAATATCAAGTGACGGGACGAACAAGTCGTACGCCTGGTTGTAAGCGACACGCCTATCCATAACAGTTGCAGTGCCATTCAGAGCTTTAAATCGTAAAGATCTTATGGGCACTGCCACTGCGCCCGTCACCCTGAGACATAAGTTGACAAGTCCCATGTGCCTGTAATTTCACCAGCACCCTTACCCTTCTAAATCGGAACGCAGTAATGCTGACATTACTGCTTGGCGGCAGAAATAGGCAAGGTGATAGTACTTAATGCGATAATAATAGATAATAGCTAGCCTATATAGTTTCCACTACTGGGCACAGGCCTCCTCTTAAAATAAAAGGCCTCGGGCTGTACTTTCCACACGCTCTCAATGCGGATTGGAAACTCCACATCGTTAAATAGCTTTGCAGATGTACGCAGGTTTCATAACGATGTTTTCCTTCACCGAAAAGCTCGTAGTATACTTCGTCTCAATCCATTTTGAACAAAAAGTAAACAAACAAGTCACTGACCCAACCATAGACGGTTTAGTGATGGCCAATTGTAATGCCAAGTACAAATCGATTAATTAATGTAATGAATCGATTTGTTCATCTGAGTCATACAAGCGGTTTTCCTTACATAACCAAAAAAAAATATTAAAATTTATTTATTTTTATTTTTATTTAAAATTTCGGAAATTTTAATTTTAAGTCCTCCTTCAAATCCTTACGCTTAGATACTCATTCGATTGCGATTGACTAACAGATTAATAATTTTAATTGAATGAACCGAATGTTTTACCGCACTATGCAACTATAGAAGTCATAGTTGTATAGTTGAAAAATAACCTCACTTTTGGACTACCATTTTTAACCAACTTCAAAAAAAGGAAGAGGTTCTCAATTCGACTGTGTGTTTTTGTATGTGTTTTTTTTTGTATGTATGTAGGTTGCGCGATAACTCCACCGATTGTAAACCAATTTTGATGTTTTTTTTGTTGAAAAGAGGGTACCTCAGAAGTTGTCCCATTTAAATTTTAAGAAAATATTCGACCTCTAACGGTGGCAAACTAGGGGATGAATGACTTTTGAGGTCGATTTTTTAGTACTTTGTGCTGAAGTTAGGTTATATGCGAGAATTTTATCAAAATGATTAAATATTATTGTTGTTATACAAATTTTGTTTTCGAATAAAATGTTAGCTTTTTATTTATACAAATACATTTTATTCAAAAGTGATGAGATATCAAGTCGAAATCTTCGAAATATATGTAAATGTGTTACTTATCCAATTTATTGCGTGGTTGCTTTAGAATTTTAATGTAACAGTTTTCTTTAATTTTTGTTCAAAATGGATTGGAAGACTTTAAATTTCAAATTATATTTCGCACATAAATTCCGAAAACTCAGAAACCATTAGGCTACCACCGTTTTTGTTTTTCTTGTCGATAAGGCACCGCGGAAACAAACTTGTGTTGTATTCGAGGAACCGGTAACTAGAATCGAATATTCTATTTTCATACAATCAATACGATATCGACACAGTCGCCGGTTGCAGCTACCGCAATTGTTTTTGTTTTCGGTTTTTTGTTGCCGGTTGATTGTATCCAAGCCACACGTTTGCGCCGCGCCTGTGTGGTGACACCCTTATTCTGCACATTTAGCATACAAACTTTAGCATAATGTAAATGGGGCATTAGAAGATCTATATATAAGTGAAATGAAATCAATTCGATAGAGCTTCAATCGTAAACAATTAACAATCGGCCCAGTGAACGAGAATCATTTGTTAATATAAAACAAAAGAGAGAAGAAGCGTCAGCCAGATACACTACCGTGACCGTGTTAGTTAAACCGGAGTGGAGTGGGCCGGACCTTGTGCCTCTGTCTCGAGGAACCGGGAACGGGAACTCCGGTCAGCCCGGGACCGGGATCGTGTCTCTTCCAGTATGAGGCTATTGATGACGTAAGCCTCGCGTCTTATGCGGTCACGGAGCTCGCTCGATATGTCCGGAATCGCCCATTTTATTATGATCATTACCAGGGCTACTACGTTCTGGAATGTTAGGAATGGATTTGTAAGTATGTTTGTAGAATATATTTATGGAGCATACAGGGTCATTTGTAAAATATTAACAATTTCGCAGAACTATATCGTCGGGGATAGTGCAAATCCGCGCATGTAGTATTGGTAAAGGCGCGTAACTGCACTAAACCAAATTTGACAGGAAAGGGATTTAATGTTACTACTTGGCTACTACTAAAGTAAAGTTAATATGGCTACGACTCTCATTTTTTCACAGTAAACATCAATTTGTGTTGTCGACGAACTGATAACAATAGATTCCCGTAAATCTAGCGTGATTTACGGGAATCTTTTTTTGAAAATTTGGTTGCCACGACATTTACGCGGATTTAATTTGGTCACTATATTACCGAAATGGAAACTCGTAATCCATGGCTAGTTACGCGTAATTACACTATCCGCGACGATATTACAACATCATAAACTATATCTTTTGTCCCATGACTTTTTACAAAACAACTTTACCAATAATAAACTTTTAAGTTGTACTATCTGATACTTTTTAGAACTATAATTGATAGTAAGGTAGTCAGTTCAAACGTGCTTCTGCGTTTTTCATCCAAGGTATTTACATTTACGCTAGCGCACAGAGTACTGTAAACGCAGCATAACTGCCTCTGTGTCTGAACGGTTACCATGCCGGACTACCACGCAGAGGTCCTGGTTTCGATTCCGGTAGGGAGAAATATGTTTATAATAATAATAAAGCACACACTCAACATACTCCCGCACTAGGAAAACCCTGTGTCGTGGTGCCATGGAGTGTGTCCATAGACTACCACATATGACACAAAAACTCCGAGAGAAATAAATTTATAATAAAATGAAATAATTAAACTCATCTCTGGAGCTGTGTCGTCAGTACCACCGAGAGGAGTAGACCAGTGCGAGAAGGACGGCGTCAAAAAGGTGGAAAAGAAAAAGAAGTACACTAGCCGTAACCTTAGTGGCACCGTTCCGACTGGCCCCTACCATCTACTGCATCCAGCGGTACCAACGACGTTGCTATACGTGACACGTGACTTCATTACTCCACAAAGTCTACGGATATTGCGGAATACATACTGGTGAAAGCCAAAGCTGCCCTGAGAGTCGAGCAGTTGGGAGTCCCGCCACAAGGCGAAGTTTAATTCATTTGTGGTGAGAGTACCAACTCAACATCTGTCGACCTTCATGAATTCGGAAATGCCGGAACGTGATAATGTTCCGGTGTTTCCGAGGACGGCTATCAGACACCCACGTTGCGTCACACGTCGGTGTCCATACGTGTAAATAAATGAATTGTTTTTATCATAATATTATTATGTATGTTAGTCTATAAGGTATGTGTTTCATGAGTCTTTTGTAACCTGAAAATAAATAAATGAAATAAATGTAGGCCAGACAAATATATCTCCCGGCCCGGGATATGAACCTAAGACCTCTGCGCGGCAGTCCGGCATGGTAACCGTTCGACCACGTTTATGGCCTACATTTATTTCTCTTATCAGTTTGTGTGTAATTTGTGGTTGTCTATGTGCGTGTCAATGGCATCCGCGACACAGAGTTTCCCTAGTGCGGGGCTATGACTGTGTTGCGTTGCGTTATTAGAGTTATCACCGGCTAGAGCGATCAATTTTGTAATTTAAATTTTTGTACGAAAACAAAATTTGACGAATTATTAAGTAATGACACTAAAGTTGTTAATATATGAAGTAAGTCTTACGAGATGCCAGTATTTTATAAATAACCGAGTACACAGTGCAATTTGGTATAAACACATTCTACATAGGACAGAAATCGGTCATATTAAGGGATATTTGTAAAACCACTAAGAACCTCGCAGGACTATATTACAGGCTTGTAATAAGTTGTCAGATTTAACTTTCGTACCAAAATAAAATATTTAGTTAGATCGCTCTGAATAGTAATAACTGAAAAAACGAAACGAGAAAGGTATTAGCGTAAATACTAATCCTTTGTAAAGCGCAGAAGCGGAGCTGGGGGGCATCGGCGAGGACGCTTACACGTTGGAACTTACTACCATACAGATCTAAAAAATTGCTAATAGTACAACTGAAATTTAATTTTTGGGTAAATTTATTTTGTTTCATAAAAAGTTATGGAAAAATAGTTGTTTATGATGTTTAAAATTCCTTTTTACGAGATTCTTATCAAGAACCTACAATGCGTAGGGAAATTTCTTTTCGCCTCACTAGCTCGGAAAGGCTTTCTTTCACTTTAGAAATCTGCGCCCAAAAGGTTTTTGAAATCCGAACTTGACGATGAACTACGGTGCCTACCTACCTTTACCTACCTTTACCTGTACCTTTTTCTTTCGATGAAAAAATAACATAACAACACGTTCAAGTACGCGATTTCTCGTACATTATTTATGTAATATAAATCCGTTACTATATTTTATTCTGATTATTGTTGACATTAAATTGACCTCTTGATTGTTCCTCGAAGACCTAAACTGATTTGTTATAGTTCAACTGTTTTTCTTTATCTACCATTTTTCGCTATAGTGAGGGGAAAAGTTATGTGTTTCGCTCTGCAGCAAAATTGTTTTACGTCTCGTGGCTTGAAACCCTCGCTACGCTCAGGACTCGCTTCCCACGTGGTTCAACCTTAGAAATCTTCGCTTGCTGAGGTTTCAATACAAGCACTCGCGTCAAACTTTGAAGTCATAACAAATAACTATTGTTACCTGACCTATAATGATGGTTACCATAGTTACCGACCGATATTACACAAAATTAAAAAAAAAAACAGGAAATTTGAACTGAATTACATTTTTTCCTCCCTCTCAGCGCGTTGGAAAAGGATTATTTCATTTTCATTCAATACAATTTTTAATTTTTTCCAATTTTAGTACGACAGAAATTACGTATTTTCTAACTCATGTTTAGAAGATTAATAAGCCACTTTTCGAACACGTGTAGTATAAAATATAATGCAAGGACATTAGTACAAAATTATAAAACAATACTTACTTCGAACACGACGACAAAGGCTAATCTGGCACCGAACACATGCCAGTACCAATTACTGCGTTCATAATCATCGTCGGGTTTATTGTACCAGTAGCTGCAATTAAGCGCATTGCATAATAATATATATTACACTAAAACTCAATTTACATTGCCGCGGTACGAGGTTTAAAAGAATCTTTGTAACCATAGCATAATGGACTTATGTTAATTATGTAGCGCAGAAACTAGATACGAGCAAAAAAACACGTTACGCGTTTTCCGGAGAACTCTCGCGCAGTCTCGGGAACTCTCGCGGCTAACGTGTCGTATTTAGTTTGTTAGTTACATAATTGACCTAAAGTTCATTAAGCTATGTACAAATTCGTTCCGCGGCAATGTAAATTGAGCGTAAAGCCCGTATTAATAAATTCAGCTCAAGTGCAGCGATGCAAAAATCTTACTAAGTTTTTTTCTATATTATCAAGTAACGAGATTCATAAGTCGTGTCCATAACAGTTACAGAGTCACTCTAATTTTGAGTCGTAAAGATCTGAAGGGCACTGCCGCTGCGTTCGTCACGCTGAGACATAAGATGACTGAGAAGACTGTAATTTCACCAGCGCAGCATCCAATAAATAAGTAATAAAGACATTATAGTCCGTCCATTTATTTTACTTTTGACAGCTCGACTTCTGATCAAGTGATGGCCTAATACGTTACTAATTCGATTTCTTATAACAATTGATTTTGTTTATGAAGAAGTTTTCATCGTTACTTGACTTCGTTCAAAAACAATTAATTCGTTGAACAACGATAGTTTATAAAGTAAAGAAAAGTTATAATCGATTTACAACATTGACATTTCCAACATTTATTAGGTATTAAGAAATGTGATAACGTGCGACCTCGGCGGATCAGTTGATATATTGTGATATTGATTATATATAAATAAATAAATAAATAAAACGCTTAACTATAGTAAAGAAAAAACAAAGTCCATGAGTCTGACACGGTTTGCTAGAAGACGATGATTCGAATTAATTTTTTTTAAGTGTTCGATCTTTGTTTTGTTAATTATAACAAAGTCCATGAGTATTGGTTTTCTAATCTATGGTTGCTTGTGAACAATACTAGAATTTCTTGGCACGCTTATGTCAAAAATATAAGAAATGGTTGAATGGAGTATAGTAAATATGAGACTTTAAAAATTTCCGCATATTAATAAACGCCAGTCAGTACGTACTTAAGCGATATAACTACATGGATCATCCAAGATGATCCCAGGCAATTAATAACGGAAACACTCACACACAAAAGCGTGACATTCATCTCGAAATCTGAATAACAACTCGGCCGACTAGGTGCGGCGATAGGACTTAGAAGTTTATTAATACGGACCTTAGTTGTAGCATGACTGACAACAGAACTGTTTTGTAAACACGCTTTGTAGACAAGACAAAGAGGTACTCAATGAAATCAAAATGCGTGCGGCTGTTAGGATATTTCTCTAGGTGAGAAGTAAAGGATCTTAAGTGCATATCTTGGAAGTTAGATGTTTTTACAAACATTGCTTTAGAATACTAAAAATCACGCAATAGTGAAAGATATTAAGTCTTACCTTCGTTAGTTTTTTAACTGACTTCAAAAAAGTAGGATTAAGGTTAATTTTAAATGCGTAAATATACCGTCATTCTCTTTAAAACGCTCGTTCTAGAGTAAAAACTATTATTGGGCACCTAAATTTCTTTAACTTCTCACCTACAGATTTGTAAAGGGAATATTTTTTTTGTTGTTTCTTTTTCGTCGTATGTTTGCGAAAATGTTGTTGTTTCCATGCGTACAGTTGCCTCTATAAATTTGTCTATTCAATGAAGATATACTCTCTAAAACATACCAGGAAAAACTAACGTCACCTTTGACGTATAATATATACCTGCATTTGTCCCCTTCATACTTGCTTTCTTTTGGCAAGAATTCCTTAAGCAGATTGACGTCGAAGTCCACCAGTGTGTGGTTCACATACTGATTCATGTGTCCGTACTCGTACCAGTACACCAGTCTAGGGATGAACTCTGATGTGAACGCTATTATGAAACCCTGTTGAATTAAAGTAAGTAGGTATTTTTATGGTATTTCAACCAAAAGATGGTCTACCTGATGGAAAAGACAACTAATATAAATTGGAGATTTCAGTTGTTATTCACTGAATACTATAAATCTACCACAGAATAATTAATTTACATTTGGACGTAGTTAAATAAAAAGGATCCAATGGACATCCAGTCACATTGGAGATATGGCAGTTTGAAGTTTAAACGTGTTTCTCACTCTTGTTTTATTTTCAAAACTTATAATGTCATGTAACTACAGAGATATTTATTTACGTTTATATGTTGGATTTTTTTGCTGATCTAAGAGGTTAGACTTTAGGCACCGTTTGGTAGATATAACTCTTTATTTGATAATTTTGTGGATTGGGTCCTTTTTGCTTAACTACGTCCATTTAATCTCTACAACCTTCTATCATTTTTGTGTAAGCAAATTCTTGTTTTTTGAAATGAATACTTACAAATTATAAAAAATATATTTTATTGATAATAATAGATATAATTATCGTCATTGGAAAGACGTAAATTTACTATGCTTTGTGAAAAGTTATGGAACAAAAGTTGCATTACTTTTCTACTACTAAGCATAATAAATTTACGAAAAATATACTTTTAAGGTTTTGATGTGCAAGGATCCTCACCAACGACCCCCACTACAGCTCCTGCATTTTACTTCGAATGGTATTTACGTCAGCGCTTTCTTTTGTTATCGCACAGAATTATCAAAGTTTATAGCGATCTATTTATTTTTATTTTGTACGAAAGTAACAATACTCTGACTGAAACTGATAAATCAGTAAGTCATGGAACAAAGTTGTTGTTCATGGTGTTAATATCATAGTCCTGGGGGGTTATTAGTATTTTACAAATAACCCCTGTATATTTTAATTAATTTACCTCAACGCTCTATTGGCTGACTCAGTGAAGTAGCTTCTTTAAGACAACAATATTTTTATTTAACCAAAAATTAGCAACCCACTACTACTAATTATAATCTCGACTATAGTTATTAAAAATGTAAGTGGCTAGCCGCGTAAAGCTTCACTGACTTGAGACTTGTTCGTCCTGTCGCTTGGTACGACAAAAAAAGTAGAACTCAAGGTCATGGGAAATTTTTGAAAAAAAAATTATAGGCTTATAATATACGCGATTTATTTTTCATTTCGAGATTTCATTTCCCTGCATAATACTTACGTTGGTAATGATGCTGAGTTTCCCAATAGAGTCAAGAATGCGGTACCATACGCCGATATCGCTGACGCGTTGCGGTACGGGCCGCCGGTAGCAACGAAGGAACTTCTTGGCGTCTAAACGCATTTCCAACACGTTGTTTATCAGTGCAAAGAGAGGGGCCAACGGAAACGCTGCCACGAATATTGTTACGAACCCGTACTGGAGAACTAGGAAAAAAAAATTGATGAGTCGTGGTTTATTCGTCCTAGGTCGTAGTGCATGAAAACTCGCAATCACAAATTTCAAATGGAGGTAATTTGTCAGTTTTTTTTTTTTTTTTTTTTTTCAGAAAAAAACAATTCTTAAGTATCTATTCTACCTCAAATTGCTTTCATTGATTCTGCATAACAGTGAAAGTGTTGATTTAATCACTTTGTAAAAAATATATAGTAAAATTGAGGATGTACATATACACTATACAGTGTGAAAACATGATTCCTAAAAATTTTTAGGATAGAAAAAAAAAACAAAAAGTTACCTTAACGTAATTTTACAAGAAAGCCGCTGTATTCAATAGGTACTTTACTTATTATTATACCAATGATTTTTTTTATCAACTGAACTAAATAGAACATGTATATTATACGATATACATTTTTCAAATGACTGCTGAGACGTACATGATGATATACACATATATAAAAGTCGGAGACGCGGGCGGTCCAAGCGGAAGTAAACGCTCAACGTCTTTTTCGCTCTTACTATATGGACATAGCTTTTTCTAACCGGCTCAAACCATTTCAACGTTAATAAGTCTGGTGACTCACAAGAATGTAAACATTATAGCTTACCCATTTCTAAATATTCAGGAAACAATCCCATTTGGCCAAAATCAACTAGCTTAAAGTCTTGAACCCATTGACTAGAGTTTTTCATCCTGGAAAAAAATAGGAAAGCTTAAATTGGTTCACACACTCCACCGTCTTCACTTTCAATTGCTCGGTTTAAACTCACCGCTTCTTCCGTCCAATAGTGCGGATGATATTCCACCACTTGAGCAAGTAAGGCATCATCATTTCGACGATGGTGTTGATGAACTGCTTACCGATCATTATGATCGCCAACTGAATGGACAACTCCAGAAGACACCCTCCGGGTGCACACTGGAAGTCGTGGAACTTCGTGAGATGCAGAGCCACAAGATTATAATACATTACATTATTACTATGTGCCATATAAAAAGTGGCATCAACTCGTTCTATTATTGCGTATCGTTCTCTTATGAAACAAAGACACAAAACCGCAAATAAATAAGCTTTCCTTCCAGGAACCGGTTCATAACCAACGGGTGGAGATAGATTGTTTGAATGCAAAGTACGGTATACCAAATAATATATCCGTATGTGAAAAGTAAAAGACTTTAAGTTCATATTTTGGAATTTATATATTTTTACAAACATCGCTTTAGAATGTTAAAACTACGCAACGATAAGTTCTATCGTCCTTCGTTTCTATTTACATATTTTGTTTGACATTAGATTTAAATGCCTAATTAAACGCCTCATTATCTTTACAACGCTCTGTAGCAAAAATTTGTATTTGGGACTTAAAGTTCTTCATCTCTCTCAGCTACAGATATGTCCTAATTGATTATACACACGTAACAATTTATTTGAGTCAATGTACTTTAGTTTGTTCTTCAGTGATGTATCCATTTATTCATAATAGGAACACCAACAGCATGTGTATTAAAACATTTACATATATTTAACTAATTATGACCAGAATTCTGATACACGAGCCAATTTCAGATGTACTTGTGTACATACATACATTATGTACGTACATTCACCATAATACTAAGTAAATTTATGAGCTACAGGAACACTAATATTACATTAAAACGACGATGAAAATGAATAAACAATTATACAACTAATCAGCTAGTGCGAGTACATATGACAACAACAACAACAACGCAGACACTCATATCCCCGCACTAGGGAAGCCCTGTAACGCGAGTGCCATGGACACACACATAGGTAGACAACCACAAATTACACCCAAACTCTCGAGACAAATAAATGTAGGGCATACAAATATTTCCTGACCCGGGAATCGAACCCGGGACCTCTCTGCATGGCAATCCTGCATGGCAATCCAGCATGGTAACCGTTCGGCCACTGAGGCAGTTAAAAAGTATATTTTATAATGCAGGCCTTACAAGGGAAAAAAATACATCGAGTGCCACTCAGAAGGGCTTTAAATCGCAAAGATCACCCCGAAACATAAGTTGATAAGTCACATGTGCCTGTAATTTCTCCAGCACCTTTACCCTTCTAAACTGGAACGTAATAATGCTCACATTACTGCTTGGCGGCAGAAATAGGTAAGGTGGTAGTACTTCCCTGGATGAATTCTTTCACTAGCTACTGCTTTAAAAACTGTACTGTACTGTGCACTGGTGGATGGTACCACAGAGTGATGGGCTTCCGGGGTAAGTTGTACGGCACTAAGAATAGAACACACGGAAGGAGTTTTAACCAAAGGCCGAGGTGTCGCATATCGGTGATTCCGAGGTCGCTCACCTGACACCTTACTGCGATATACGTCGCCAACAAGTGCAATTCGTGTAAACCAGTCACTTACTTTTTATATTATATTATATGTAGTTAGTCTTTAAGGAATGTCACTTATGGGTCACAATTGCCTGATTTATATAAGTAATGTTACCAAATATTATTAACTTGTAACCTGTGTTTTGTAAAGGAAAGTAATTTTATTTAAGCCATACTTAAACTATCATTACAGATTATTGCCCAATGCGGTATTCTAGACAATTTAATTAATATTTACAAATACATACTTTATTGATCTATGACTTATGACAAATAAAAAAGCCAAACCTTTGTGAATTCACTCAGAGGACACGTAAATATGTCCACCACATTATCAATCAAATGACCCGTGTTGCGCGCGTGAGCGGCGCTCCTCTTAACATGTTGATGCGCGCATAACTGCCTCAGTAGACGAACGGTTACCATGCCGGTCTGCCACGCAGAGGTCCCAGGTTCGATTCCCCAGTCGGGAATATTTGTATGGCCTACATTTATTTCTCCCGTGAGTTTGAGTGTAATTTGTGGTTGTCTATGTGTGTCCATGGCATCCGCGACACAGGATTTCCCTAGTGCGGGGCTATGTTGAGTAGAGTTGATTATTATTATTATATGGCACCACCAGTAGCTGCGGCCAATTGCTGAGTTGATCCTTTTATATACGACGCAGCCGCACACATGACATCTACTTTAATTGTGTTGACTATTTAATGATTGCTTTGTTGTTATTACCTATAATTATTTTATTTTATTTTATTCTTTTTGTTAATCTATTTTATTTTTAACCGACTTCAAAAAAGGAGGAGGTTCGCAATTCTACTGGTTTTTTTAATGTATGTTACGCGATAACACGTGAACTGACTTGGATGATTATTGTTTTGTTGGAAAGAGGGTACCTCAGCAGTAGTCCCATTTAAATTTGAAAAAAATATTCCACCTCTAAGGGTGGTAAACTAGGGGATGAATGACTTTTGAAGTCGGTTTTTTAGTACTCTATACTGTTTTTTGTTTTAATTTAGCTTTATCTTTTTTTAATCTTTCTTACTGTGTAGTTTTGTTGTGAAGTTGTAATAAATGGTTCTATTCTATTACGTTTTCTGTAATAAAAATAAGTCTCACCTCTTCTTGCCGATGTCCAAATAGCTTAACATAGTCTCCAGGCCTCCCCACAAACTTGCCTTTAAAGAAGGCGATGTAAAATATCGACGCGTAGTAGTTGACGAATTGCAGCAAATATATTTTCAAAGTTAAAGAATCATCGAATTCCGTTTGTGTGCGGAGGAGCTCTTTCTCCGTTAGCCATTCGGCGAGGTATTGATAGATCTGTAAAGAGAAAACTTTGTTGAGAAAATTGAAAAACGCATATAAACTTATAATGAATATCGATAAATTAAAACATAAACCAAGTGATCCATAAAATCAATAACATGTGGTATAAGAGGTCTTCGAAATAACGCTTAAAATACCCGATGCAAAATATTGTACTATAAAAAGTCAACAAAGTCACCATCTGTAAGCTAACAATGAGATCAATGTAATAAGCCCAAGCAGGATAGTTCTATTGTAAGTAATACAGGAGGCTGCCTTGGAGCCGATGTACGACTTCGTACAGGTCGCGGTCGAGACGGCGGACCCCTAGGGTTCGGCAACTCGGGACTTGTTTAAAGAGTTGGGTCGCCGACTCAGGGGCAGGAGCAGAGATCACTGCTCTGGGTCGTGGTTGGTTCAGCAGGTGTCCATTGCCGTTCAGCGAGGCAATGCTGCCAGTATAATGGGAACTTTTGAGCCGGGCACGGTAAGGGGCGGGATTTTATTTTAGGTTAGATTACTTTTTAGGTTAAAAATCTCTTTCAAATCCGTTTTTTTATATACGAATACATATTAGTACCTATTGACGAAGCCCAGTTTTTAACTAAAAATATCAATGTAACATTTGCATTAAAGTAAAAATAATATTTCAAGTTGGCTATTCCAAAAAAATATTGTTGGTGATTGAGAAGTTGGGTCGTCTAAAGACTTTTCTGATTGTAGCAACAGATCAAGGCTACCATATTATTGTAATGTCATCGGATTTCCATCGTATTCCAAATTTCAAGTCGATCGGACCATAGGAAGTTATATATATATATTCATTTTATGACCGAGATCTCGACACTAAGGCTGCTAACAGATTGATTGCATGTTTGCAGTTAATACGTGAAGTCGTAAGTCGTAATCAACTTCATGCAATTAAATTATGAAGTTGATCATGCAGTCGAGGTCTCGGATAACTACTTATGCATTAACAGCATGCCGTAGCACAGTAGAGCAGTAGAGCTCCTTGTGAAAGAGTTTGTCCAAGGAAGTACTGCCACCTTACTTGTTTCTGCCGCCAAGCAGTAATGTTAGCATTACTGCGTACCGGTTTAGAAGGGTAAAGGCCCATTTAGATGGAGAGAGTATATCGTTTCGAAGACACGATTATCGAAAGAATATAAAAAACTTTCCTCGTCTAAACATTTGCGATTATCCACCGTCCACGTGAGCGATAATCGCCTCTACTTTCAATATTGAACGTCTCCGTGTAAACAGAACTCGAAAGCAAAAATCGTACTTCGAGTTTCTGTGCCTGCCGTTTCTACCACGAGTGCAGTGCGCGAGGGTGTTTTGATTATCACTGCTTTTCTAAAACAAGAATTAATGAAACGAAAACGAAAAAAAAATTTAGATTAAGAAATATTATAAAATTTGAAAAAAATAAATAAATGTATATTTCTCTACAATGCAATGAACTTAATATTATCAGCAGTTCCAAATTTGAATGATTTTTGCGTCATTTCGATATGTCCATAGTCAATACCGCAATAATCACTGAACTCGAATGGCGATTCTCGCACTCAAAACGATTCGAACCGATTTGTACGATAATCGTATGAACTTGAAAAAATGTCATACGAGATCGTAGTTAGACAAGTCGAAAACTCGTAAGCAAGAATCTCCTTACTACATATTTCTCTGTGTAAACAGTCGAGGAGGTGATTAAGTTGCTTGCGAATCTCGTATGACATAATGGTAGGCGAATTTTAGTTCTTGCCAGAATGTAAACATTATGATACGATAATCTTATGGCGATTATTGCTTACGATAATCGCCTACGAGTTTTCGTCACGAAGCGTGCGAGAAACTCTCACCATCTAAATGGGCCTTAAGGGTGCTTGTTCGTAAAATTACAGGCACATGAGACTTGTCAACTTATGTCTCAGGGTGACTGGAGCAGTGGCAGTGCTCTTCAGATCTTTGTGATTTGAAGCTCAGAGTGGCACTGCAACTGTTATGTACAGGCGCTAGGCGTGTAGCTTACTATCAGGCGCACGACTTGTTCGTCCCGTCACTTGATATTACATTAAAAAAGTCGGAACCGACTTCATGAAGTCGAGGTCTTGCTTTTTAGAGTATATGACGTTGTTTTTTGTTGGTTATTTTCTTCGATTTAGTTCTCATTGATTTTCCAAACAAAAATTAATGTAGTATTTTAAGGAGCCACCTATTAGAACATGATTGAACTTTCTAGTAGAGAGCTGTCATTGAAACGTCAAAGGCAAACTAAAAGGACAACTTTCGTTATTTTACTTGCAGTGCGAGTTGATGTTTAAATACTTACATAATTAAATATACAAATGAACACCAAGTTGATACAGGCAGCGGTGATGGATGTAAACAAGATAGGATAAGTAGTAATCAGCTTGTTTTCGTTTTGTCGCAGTATTTGAGCTCCCAAGAGCGAAGTTCTGTACAATACTACACCCAGCACCGAGGCTAACGCGAGGAGAACGAGTAAGGAGACCACGCTGAACGACATGAGGGCAGCTGGGAGTCGCATTCGCCAAAACGGTACCATAGGCTCGCGTTCTCCCGTAACCACGTTGAGCTAGAAAAAAACACGTAATAAATAAAATAAGACGATAATCATCAGTTATTGTGTGTATCAGTGATTGTTCTTCCGATATTTCATACCGGTAACAACGTTATAAAGCCGGATTTACATTTGTCTAGCGTGTCGTGTCGTGACGGATCAGAACGGTATCGGTTTCATACATTTAATATGGTTAAATTTCCATTAGTGTGTCGCAATCTGCCGTTCTGACACGTCACAACACGACACGTCAGACAAATGTAAATCCGGCTTTATATGGTCACGGATTCAAGAATCGTGTATAATTCAGTGAATAAAGCGATTATCACACTGCTGTCGCCACGCAACGGTATGCGGCGCTGCGTTTTTTAACGTTGTACCGAAGTATTAGGTACAGTTTGTATAAAAAACACGCACCGTACAACACACGCGTCGTCTCGCGCACTCTGCTGCGTGGTGTGGGGCAGTGTGATAATCACCTAACCACAAAGTTTAAGCGCCCCCAAACCCAAGGGAGACTCAGGGGTTGTGTGGGGACTCTCCCTCCTACCCCACTAAAAGCCCCCCGAGTTTACCCCTCGCCGGTTGAGTCGGCGCCATAGGGTCGGTGAACATTCACCACGACGCCGCCCGATAATAAGTCTTAAGGGGCCAACAGATTGGCTCGATTTGTAACGATCGCTCCTATTCCTTATTAGCCATCGATAAATATCAACGTTAAAAATCAAACAAATTTGTAAGCACCTATGCCTAATACAATTTACAGTGTCGATCAACAAAATATATGCTGTCAATCATCTGTTGCTTACACATTTACTCGATTTTGTCTGAACACCAATGGTCGGAATAGAGTGTTCCAAATGAGTAGATAAATGTCTACATATAGATGCAGGAAGTGACTTGGAGTGGCTAAAACCGCCGATTAAATAATTAATTACTATAAAAGTATCTACAATATTCGCATTAGTTAAAACAAGCTTTTGCTTGTAGCTCATAAAAATTACGATGTCGATCATATGTACTCGTTTTGTTTGATCACACGGTTCGATTATCAAAAAATCGAGTAAATCTAAAGGCACTGTTAAAGATAACAGTTTGTAGGAAAATTTCATTTAACAGGTTGTGGTATTTTATTGTATTGTTTATTGAGTATTGTTTATTTGTCATTTTAGGTTTATTTTTATTTTTAATTGATGACAATGTTTTTATAAAATGTATCTACTACAATCGATGAATCACATAAAGATTTAAGATTTTTTTTTATTTCTCGTTCAAACAAGGATCCACGATTATATTGATTTTTATGGAATAGAACAAAAACATCACAGATATCTAAAAGTTACAGAGTAAAAAATTCTAGACATTTTCAAATTCGAGATTTCAAAATTCGAAGTGAACAAATTCCAAATTCCATCTGTCATCCTCAAATTCATTAAATACTACCATTCATTCGTAAGGCAGATTCTCCTGACACGAACGAGTTGTAACTGTAGGGGTTGGTTTATGTAAATAGATATTTATCATTTACAATGTTTTTTTTAAATATGATATTTTAAAATAAACATTTTAAAGTTAAAAACAACGTGACTAAGCTCATAAGATCACGCCCATGAATATAAAGTTATGCAAGTACGCAGGAATATTATTACAGGAGCGTATATAGTGCCTCTTAATTTGTGACTGCAAAGACGGCTGTGAAAAACAACCCGTTTATTTTTGTTATTTATAAAAATGTATTATAAATTATAAGAACTGTGACGCCATTGTAAGAATATTACTTCCCTTATCTTGTTTATTTATGACTAGAATGAACCCATGAAAGCAATATATTCATTCACCTGTGTTCGTTTAACATGTGCTAGCCTAGCCAAATACTGCGGACGGGGATGTTCCTCGTAAACGTCGAAGCCAGTTAAGTCCCAGCGGTGCGTCATCTCCGCTGAGTAGCGCTTCCACATCTCTAAGAAACACGCAGCTAGAAAAATGAATAATAATCGTTAAAAGCGTGCATAACGTTACATAATATATTATGGATTGTCTACCATTGCACACTGATCGACTTCCGACTTTTTTTCCACTTAAATTCAACACAAGGTCTTGCAAAAGCGAGCAACATGAATTATCGCGGGATAATTTTAATATACAATAAAGTCTGTAGTTTCATTTTATATATACAGATCACTATTAGAGATACACAAAACAAAAAATTATATAACGAAGAGATTAGACATAAATAATAAATAAGTCAATAAATATTAGACAACATCACATACGTTGCCCTGACCCCAAAGTAATTAAAGCACACGTGTTATGGAATTAGGAAATACATGCACTAGTGAAATTACAGGTACATGGGGACTTGTCAGCTTATGTCTCAGGGTGACAGGCGCAGTGGCAGTGCCCCTAAGATCTGTGCGATTTAAAGTTACGACCGCCTAGCACGACTTGTTCGTCCCGTCCGGTGGCGGGTTTGCAGTCTTGGCCGCTCTGGGCCCCAGGCAATAAATATAAATAAATAAATAACGCACACACTCAACATAGCCCCGCACTAGGGAAATCTGGGACCTCTGCGTGACAGTCCGGCATGGTAACCGTTCGGCCACGGAGGCAGACTGTACACTAGTCTGTACAAGCCTCCCCTTTCTCAGCAGTCATCATATACTGGTAGACTACATAATGAATTTACTTTATTACCAACTTATATCGAAATCGATTCAGAAATTTGGTTAACTATAATAGGTTTAGGTTTTAGAACATCGATTTGATATATCTCTGTTAGTTTATAGGGCGCACGCCAGCAAAACGCCCAGCCGGCATGACATTTTCCGACATCTTCAACATTTATGGTCATATTTCAGCCAACTTACAAAAAACCTCCATAAATTATACACCTAAATCTTCCTCATGAAATGTCTATTGGTGGAAACCGCATGAAAATCCGTTCAGTAGTTTTTGAGTTTATCCCCATCAGACAGACGGACAGTGACAATACGCAGCGATGTAGTGATTGTACATTACATTAGGTATAGATAGGTAACATATCTATACTTTATACATACAATGTACGAAAGTGGTTTAGGAAGATTATTGTTATACGATGCCTTTAGAATATTTAGGTAGTTTGAGTTATTTCTGTTATCATCTCAGTGAATTTTTTGTCACGATTGGCCGCCCCTAAAATCTAGCTGCCCTAGGCCCGGGCCTACTGGGCCTTAAGGCAAATCCGCCACTGGTCCCGTCACTTGGTATTATAAAAAAGAAATCAAAAATAAATAAAAAATTTCGTGCCATTTTACAAATAATAACACACTATTTATTTGGACGACTCTATGAAACAGAACAGCTGAGCGGTAGAAAATTGAACTCCCGCGTGTCAAGCCTTCCTACCTAAAGAGTACTATTAAAAATAATTCAATTTTCCTTTCATTCAACGTGCGCAGAGGCCGGTAAAGGTAGCGGGCACTACCTGCATGTTTGATCTTGAGCAGATTATTATAAAATGGTAGAGGCAGCATTTTCATTAGAGAAAAATATTTAAAAATAAGATAGCATTTTTTTACATATTCGGTATGGGTATCAGCTACACATTGGCCTCTTTAAATATTTATCTTGTTCAACCAGTCATCCTGTACATAACACTAGAAATAAACATAAACTAGTAACAAATGAAATCAGATTAATAAAAACCTCAAAACAATGCATAAATATAAAAAAAAATATATATTGATAATAAACCACCATTTAGTGTATTTGACTTTGAAATAGCTGCATTCAAAAAAAAACTAAAACTTTAGTTTGAATAATCATCCTTTTCACGAAATCAATGAATTTATGTATTCTAATATAACAGAATATTCATTTTCTTTATTAAATCGTGATGCCAAGCACTCTGTATTACCATTCTGTATACCTGTATATAAAATCGTAATTCCTGTAATTTTATTTACCTATAAGCAAAATACTGTATTGTCTTGGCGAATAAATAATTTCAATTTAATTCGACAAGTCCTGCATCAAATCATGCACCAAGACAATACTCTGACATGTCTTAAGATTTAGACGGTCGTTAGACATATTTGCAGCATATTAGATAGTACGCGAGTGCAAATAATAAAAAACAATTAATGGCACATACAGAACATTAATGCAGAGATAATAATAATAATAATAATAATAATAATAATAATAATAAATTTCTTTATTTCCTCCACAAAACTTAAATATAACCAACGTACAAATTTGATCTTATGAAATAGCAATTTGTGGAGACTGGTGCCTAAACTAGGATACCCTGTGTTTTAGGTCACCAGGCCTCCACCGCCATAGAGATAAATAATAAATTAACGCACACACTCATAGCCCCGCACTAGGGAAACTCTGTGTCGCGGGTGCCATGGGCACACATAAATTACACCCAATAACAACAATACAATAATAGACAACCATAAATTACACCCAAAGTCACGGAAGAAATAAATGTAGGTCATACAAATATTTCTCCCTCCCGGGAATCGAACCCGAGACCTCTGCGTGGCAGTCCAGCATGGCACCTGTTCGGCCACGGAAGCAGTTAGTAATCATTAGAAAGTTCGATCATTCACAATCCAGACATATTTGGCAAAATTTTATCTACTTTCACAATCTATCAATAAAATAGTCGACAACAACCACATGACTATTTAAATTTTTGCGAAAAATGGCAACCCTGCAAATGTCATTTAACTTTAAAAAAGATAGACTATAAGTTCTTTTAAACTCGTATTATATTACCGATTATTTAATTTACACCTTATCGAGTCTTACTTACCCCACAAACTCATGAAAACAGCAAAGAACACAGTGGTAGAGTTGTCGAAGAGATACGTGATGCGTGATTGGACGCATGTGTCCTTTAAGTCCCAAAACTCGCAAAAGTGATCGCACAGCGGACACATCTTTATCGTCGAGTTGTAATTGCAGATTTGGTTGCTAAAATGAGATCAGTGTTATTTAAATATATACTTAAACCACAGTGAGTGGTATAATAAAACTTGCATTTCTAAAACCGTGATAAAAAAACCGAACATACATTTCTTTTAGAGTTGAAGAGCCTTGTGTGTTATAAACAGTACTTCTATAAATGTTAAAAGTTGTTATGACAAAATATTAAAAATTTATATGAGTATTTTATAAAAACATTTTTTTTTGTTTTTTTCAAACAAACTAATGTTTTGGGCACTATGTAAAATCCCGAAATGTTGATTTGTTTGAAAAAACAAATAGACGATTTATTTATATCCGAAAAAATAGAGTCATTTCCAATATTTTTTATTAATTCAAATTGTTCGTATTTCAAAATACGTAATTTAAAAATAATATAATAAAATAAATAAAATAACCAACGTATTCAGTATAACTTAAGTACTGTCATTTTTTTATCATTTCACACTCACTCACATTTCTGACTCCGATATCACAAACCCACGGTGACGAAGGAAATTAATCTTCTAATTATACATTTATTTCATAGTAAGCACGTCACACTTCAAATTGTCACATTAATTAAACTCTACTACTCATTCGTAAAGCAAGTTCCCCGAGAAGAATGAAAGTCTGTAGGGGTTGCTTTCTGTTAATAAACATGAAATATCATAGATCGAAACAACCTGCAACAGATAAACGGACCCCTACCACGGATTTTTGTTATCAAAATACGCAGAAGCTGTAACCTTTAGTGTAAAGTTTTTGTTTCACTACAGTTGTAAACCTCGTAAATGGCAAATTTTGAATATCAACCAGAATCTTATTACGAAAGCGTATATATTACCCCTAATGTCAATATAAAATATTCTTACTAATATTTAATAAATCGTTGTAAATTACCTCGGAGGATGATTATATATAGTTGCAGCGGCGTAAATGACACAAATGAGGCCCACTATCGAGGCAGGAATCAGCATGTGCGTGTAGAAACCCAGCCATGCAAAATACAAGCCTGAAAGTAACCAAAGCATACATGAAAGTTTCCAAAGGCCTGGAGCAACGTGCAAACATCACTATACAGTACTACATAACGGTACATATATAGCTCGAATAACCGCAAAGCGAATGAATAAGGCGAGAGACGTATTCAAAAAAGTACAAACAAGAGCTAGGAGTATTTTGATAACGTAACATAACTCTTCAAACGTCTCCATACTTCAAGACCTCGGTATCAAGCAGCGTCAGTCTAATGTGGTGCTAACTCGAATCCTGATGTTCTTCCGGCACGTCTCAAGACGGAAATTTGACTCTATGGAGCGTTTTGTCGTGAAGGGCAGGGTAGAGGGCACTAGACTGCGCGGAGGGTCGCCCACGCGATGGACCAACTATATAAGAGTTCAGTAATAGAGAGAGACGGCCAAATATCGTGAAGCGAGCCACATCAGCCCCTACCAAACATACTCCATGATGACCACGATCGCTCTGTCAAGAGTGCAATGAAAATAAGAGAAACATCTAACATCGCTTAAGTTACACAAAACCTACTATTAGACTTTTTCTTTATCTTTCGGCAATCTTCGTGTTTCGGCTGTGGTCGGAATTTTATCAGTTGCCCTTGCACGACGCAAGGAGCGCCTACGTACATTTGATTTACACGCACCGGCGCCCGCCGCCGCACTGAATAAGGCCATAGTCGTCACAATGTGAGAGGCCCAATTTGATAGCTAAGGAAAACGATAGTATGTAACTTTGAATGCAATCAACGAAACAGTAAACAAACAATTATTAACTTGTTATAATTATTAATACAAAGATAGAACATTCAGAAAAAATTCCTTCGATCCGGTCGGATTCGAACCGACGTCTTCTTGCATACCGTGCCAGACGCTATACCAACTAAGCCACGGAACGAACCAACGGACCTCACGAATTTTTCTATGTGCTTGCGTCGTGTCTTTGTATTTGGTTTTTCAACGACTTTTTAGTCGTAGCGCCATCTATGAAAAATCTTTGTATTAATAATTATAACAAACTAGTGGAGTAGTTTCACAAAAAAAAATTGAATATCAATTCAATAAAAATTTAATTAGTTATTAACCTATCCGGTTTAAAAAAAAATACATTTAAAGAAACATAACACAAATATGATATGATATTTCGAGTAATATTTTCGCACAAATTCCAAAAAAAATGCAATGGTGACTTAGTCCGAAACGTCTTCCAAACAGTTTTACATTTTTTTTTTAATTAATAGTGTTGTAACCAATTAATCGTCAGATTTCACAGAGTCAATTCAATTTCACTTAAAAAATTATATCCGTTTTGATCATGATTTTGACAGATATATTAACATTGACAGTATGACTGAAAATCAAATAATTATATACATACAGGTTGGACTTCTTACCGACTTAGTTAAGTGGTAGGCCTGTAGTGGAGTATCTTCACAAAAAATATATGAATATCATGTAAAAACACCAATATTCAATTAAATAAATATTGACATTAATATATGTAGATAGCAACGTCTCCGTAAGTTTTCTGGCCGATGTAAAAGTACCTGACTGAGTGAAGAAACTTTCATAAGTAAAACTCAATACAAATATCTGCAACAAGCTCATAGAGAAATTCATAAGATTCGCTCCGTAGCTCATTTGGTAAGAACGGTCGCCTCGGTAAGGCGAAAGATGGAAATTCATGTTCGGTCGAATCGAAGAAATTATTCTTTGTGTTTGTTCGATATTCGTATCAATAATAATGGCAATTATATTTTTCAAAGTCATATTAGTAACTGTCTGTTTGCGATCTCTAAATAAAAATCCGACCCTATAGTACATAGGTTCCCAAACTTTTTGGCTCACCTCCCACTTAGGCAAGAAAAAAAATACCACCACAAAAAATAATTAACAACACATATTTTTTATATTGAACTTAACATTAAAAAATCAGAAGGAAATATATATATAAATGTGTAGGTAAGTTTACACAGACAATTCAAGGTTTTTTTTTTTTTTTTTTCAAATACCGTAGCACCCCCTGGACAGCATCAACGCCCCCCAATTGCTTCCGAGAACCCCAGAACTCTTCAGCGCCTACTGGGGGGATGGTAAAGTACAATTTGAGAAACTATGCTATAGTATTAGATGTCCAAAATGCAAACAATAGACAACCGAGTAAAAAAGTACATTTTAAATAGTAATTCCCCATTTATGACGGTAATAAACGTGTGTATGTAAATGTCATTCGTGCTTTGTTTCTCAAACTCGAATGTTTTCTTGTCTCCATAGTGCGTTTGTCAAATTATTGTGTGTTGTGGTTAAAGTTTTTGTTTATTGATAATTTAAATTGTAGAAAATGAGAACTTCCTCTTTCTCCAATTTCGTTAAAAATAGAAGGTTGAGCACACACACCTTCATTCACAATTTCACAATGACATTCCGTGAAATTTCTTTGTTTACATTTTGGACGTCTAATTATGATTCATACTATACGAACATTCATAAGTATTTTAGGTTTTCGCGGTTGCTATCCATTGGAAATTAAACTACTTTTTTCGGACCTAACCATGTGACCTGTAAAGAGTCCGAATGTTGTTTTTTTTAATAAAAGAAATAAAAATACGTGTTTTTTTAAAGATATGAAATGACGGAAGTGCCTTTCAAGTCCGCGATTTAAGACTCTGAGCGGCACTGCAACTGCGTGGGTAGGTGTGTCACACACCACCAGGCGCACGACTTGTTCGCCCCGTAACTTGATTTGATCTAAAAAAAATGGTTTAATTTCCAATTTTAAATTTATTAACATACCAATTTTAACTCCGAAATAATCTTTGACGTAGTCGAGAGGTTGATACTTGAGGCATTTGGTGATGTCCGCCCATTCCGTGTACAACAGGTGTCGCATTGACCCTGGCGTTTTAATATCACCCTGTAAATTATATGAACGTTAATTAAATTTTTATTGAATTGATATTCAATTTTTTTTGTGAAATTACTCCACTAGTTTGTAATAATTATCAATACAAAGATCGAACACTCAGAAAAAATTCCTTCGATCCGGTCGGATTCAAACCGACCTCTTCTTGCACACCGCATACTTCTTGGTAGCTGTAAAAGTACTAACTGGGTGATAAATCTTTCATAGATTTCTCATAGATGGCGCTACGACTAAAAAGTCGTTGAAAGACCAAGTACAAAGACACGACGCAAGCACATAGAAAAATTCGTGAGGTCCGTTGGTTCATTCCCTGGCTTAGTCGGTATAGCGTTTGACACGGTATGCAAGAAGACGTCGGTTCGAATCCGACCGGATGGAAGGAATTTTTTCTGAGTGTTCGATATTTGTATTAATAATTATATGAACGTTGTTTTGAAATTTTCCTGGTTTTGTAAGGAATTTTATCATAGCGCGATACTCGATTTTTCTCAACATTGTTGCGTCAGTCGTTCTCGTCGTCTTTCACCAAGGATAGTTACAATACTGATGATGATAATTAAATGAAATTTTGAATCAAACCCTCAGAGAGCTAAGATAATTTAAGTACCTTCATCATTACTAAATCACCACGATACTGAGAATATATTGAACGGCCCTCGTAAATACTAAAAGATAATGAGATAAATATCATATAAGGGTTTGATTTACATCCTCCTGCTGGATAATTGTATTTAATTTATTATGCTTTTTGTCACAATTGTCTTGATATGAGTAAATTATAGATTATTTACCCGATGCAAATTCAGTCATCGTAGTGAGACAGCGATATTGCGCTCCCTTTCCCACTTGTTTAATGCTGAGCGGATATGACGTACAAGCCCGTTATCAATAAAAACAAATGAGTCACTAAGGGCACTCATATTCATAACAAAATACTCCTTATTATATTATAAAAGGTTCTGTAAACATGTAGATTCCCTAACGATATTTTCCGTCACCGTAAAAGCAAGCTACCAAATGAATTCATTAAATCCACAAATCATGGCTTGTTCACAAAGCCAACAAAAAATGGTTCCCAAACTCTTTGGCTTAGGCAAGATAAAAAAATTTCAACACCAAAAAATAATTGAAAACACGTATTTTTAATATTAACACAAAATAATGACACGGAAAAAAATTACATAATATTATGTAGTGTAATTTATACATATATGTTGACAATTCAGGTCTTTTTATAAAATGCGGTAGCACTTCCTAGACAGGATCAACGCCCCTTAGGACTCTTCAGCGCCCACTGGGGGGCGGCAGGGAGCACTTTGGGAAACTATGATCTAAACCCTACTTACAGGAGATGAGTCACAGAAGTGCCTATACAAAGTCGACCGTCGGTTGGTGCAAGTAATGAACTTTCAAAATACTCACATCATGTAACGGATAAGCGGCACTATATGTGTTATTGGAGATGAGTCGTGAAATTCCGAAACAGAAGTCGTCCGTAGGGTGCTCGGAGAACTTTTTGCGGTCCAATATGAATTGCACGATGCGTGAACGTATAGACGGTGTCCAGAAGCATTCCGATTGTGTGTCGAATCTGGAAAAATATCATTGTATAATAAATTTTAATCATCTATACGTCTTAGGCTAATTTACTTTGCCGCGAATAGATACGAAGAGAATTATTGTAACCATAGTATAATGAACTTTGTTCATATTTTTTGTGATACCAAGTGATGGGACGATAGCAAGTCGTGAACCTGGTGGTAATGACACGCCTGTCCATAACAGTTGCAATGCCGCTCGGAGCTTTAAATCTCAAAGCTCTGAAAGGCACTGCCAATGAGTCCGACACCTTGAGACATAATTTGAAGGGTCCCATGTACTACAGACATTTCGCCAGCCCCTTACTCCACAAAACCAAAACGCAGTAATGCTCACATTACTGCTTGGCAACATAAATAGGCAAAGTGGTAGTACTTCCCTGGACGAACTCTTTCACAAGGAGCTTTACTGCTATTAAAATTATGTCAATTGTGTAACGTATTAACAAGATATGAGCCAAAGAACAGGTCGCGCGTCTTCATATCTTACTATCTCGGGGAATTCCACAGCCACAGTACCGGACCAGCGCCCCGATTCAGAACTTTTCGATATTTTAACCGAATCGTTCGATTGGATATAGTTCTCGAATCGAAGGGCGCTTTCCGAGCTTTTTAGAACATTCCGAGTTAAACGTCCGATTCGGATCTATTTTTAAGACTTTAAAGGCCTAAAATGTAGGAATGCATTAGTCTGGCATTAAAATAAATTAATAAAATTGAACAAAATCCAGACTTTGTTTAAAATAATAAGAGATTTCCATATTTCATTCTTGCTTTGTAATCAATACGACGTTCGGCAACGTTCATTCGATAACTGTGTTCTGAATAACGTTTGTAGCCTTTGCCGGTTGAGAAGGTCGAGTAATCGTACGGCTGTGATGTCATTTCGGTTCGGTTTCGAGTACGACTTTTCTTTGTTAAAAATCAGTTCATGAAATATTTCCGTGATATTACGATGTGCGATCATCATCATTATTTCAGCAAAAAGAAGTCCACTGTTTGACATAGGCTTCACCCATCAGCGGATTCCCGCAACCATCACCAGATCATCGGTCCACCATCTGGGTGGCCTGGTCACGCCGGGTCTTCCAATACGCAAACGCCACTCAGTAACTCTTTGGCTCCATCCGACTATCTCTTCTACGAGTAATGTACTCGCCCACTGAACTTTTGTAATTCTAAGGGCAGGTGGTTACTCTAGTTACCTCATTTCATGTCAATCTCGGTGTATTGTACTAAAATGTTCTAAGACTGCTTCCGGCACCAAACTTGTTTGCCCTATAACCGCAGACAAAGGAATTGATTGTCCTTTAAAAAGCATGGTTAACAAGACAAAGACTCACAAGTACTCCTTATCCTTTGAATAGATGGCAGTAAGGCGATGCTTCCTCTCAGGAAAATAGTTCGTGTCTACTTCAATCTTGGACATGAACCGATCCCAACAGGCGGCCATCTGATCCATCAAACTATTTGTCTTCTCTTCTACATTCTTCAGAGCTGTAAACTAGATTTTAAAGTTATATTAATAATCATTATTTTTATTAGATTTCGGAAATGAAACTATTTTTCCGGATTTGAATCGCGTATATTTGTTTTTTCAAACAAACCGACGTTGTGGGTCCGATCACGGTTGACCATGGGACCTGTAAAGGGCCCGATCACGGTTGACCATGAGACCTGTAAAGGGCCCGATCACGGCTGACCATGAGACCTGTAAAGGGCCCGATCACGGTTGACCATGGGGCCTGTAAAGGGCCGGAAACGTCGGTTTGTTTGAAAAAACAAATATACGCGATTTAAATCCGGAAAAATAGTTTCATTTCCTTTGTGGAACAATCGCGAAAACCTAAGAACTCGATAGATTTCATGACTTTGATAATAGCACGCGTATTTAGAGGTCGGGCATTCTTCGATTATTTTTGAAATGATTTCTGATTTCCTTGTTTATGGTCAACAGCATGTCAAGGTTCATCTTTTCTTTTACTCAATTTAATGGCATTAGAATACTTTATGCCAATGTCAAAGTAAAACGTCAGGAAACAGACGAGAGAGAAACCAAAAATGAAAGGAAAAATTATATCAGTCAAAGCATCAGGGCCAGCACGACGAGGTGCGACATTTTGTTATAATATTAAATGACGAGACGAACAAGAAGTGCGCCTGGTGGTAAGCTACACGCCTGTCCATAACAGTTGCTGTGCCACTGAGAGCTTTAAATCGCAAATTTTATAGGTACTGCCACTGCGCCAGTCACCCTGACACATAAATTGACAAATTCCATGTGCCTGTAATTTCACCAGCACCCTTACCCTTCAAAACCGGAACACAGTAATGCTGACATTACTACTTGACGGCAGAAATAAGTAGGGTGGCAATACTTCCCTGGACGAACTCTTTCACAAGGAGCTCTACTGCTACTAAACTTGCGCGAGAGCGACATAAACCGCGAGACCTATATTGCTATATTGCTGTTTTCGCATAGAGGTCTCGCGCTAGTCGCGCGCTGTCGTGCTAGCCCTTGAGAACAGGTAAAATTTGAAACAATTAATATACTTTATATTAGGAATATTATGATTTATAAGGAATATTATGATTTAAATACATAAATTTTATTACAGGAAATGCATATAAGAGCAATTTTTTTATATCATAAAAATGATACTTAAGATTTCAATTCAACTTTAAGCCGTTTGCGATAAGAACGGTCCAAAGTCACTCTTGATGTGCTATTGACTGTACATGTATTTGATAAAACGATGACAGAGCGTTTTTTTTAATCTAGTTTTAATCAATGTGGTTAGTTCCTTATTTTGTTTTTATTTTTTCTTATAAGAAATATGCAAAAGCGCACATTGTTGTGTAAATTGCATTTATTACAAGTAGAATACATGTACAATTACTAACAAAGGGTTAGTTATACAGAACTAACTACTTGGGTTTTCCATTCATTTTTTATTCAAAATATAATCCCCTACTCCTTGCTCGCGCGGTTCGACCCAATTGTCCCTATTTAAGTGTTCACCAGTTAATCCGGCCTTTTGATACCATATTGGAATTTGGATGATGGCTCTGAAGGTCCAAATGACTTGACCTGAATTATAACGAATACCGATCCTCGGCCTGAAAGCCAACCCGCTCGTATACACCACAAACATCCAGAACACGCGCTTTTTAAATCCCCTACTGACTATATTACAGTGTGACACAGTTTCTGGCTTATTACTAAACACAATTATAATGTTATTCTTAAACATACCAGCACATTTAATAGAATAAAAAAGTAGGAACATAAAATAGCAACGTTTGTAATCAAATAAATAATAATTACACGTAAAATAACATTTTAATAAACATCTTTTAACGTCGACTTTATAAAGCCCGTCTCCATTTTTATTAAAAAAAATTAAACAAATGCTATTATGTCTAGAATTTGTGACAGTTTAACATTGATATATCCAACTAAAATGAATAAAAAACTTTAGTAAACCAAAGTTTACGCATTTTACAAGAACGCAAAGTCAACATTGAGACACTCGATAAACTTGAATTAGTAAGAAATTTAAACAAACGTATGAAAAAAATTACAAACAAATAATTTTTTATTTTCAAATTTGGTGAATATTTAAAAATTGCAACAGTGTAACGTTAAAAAGTTAATAAACTTGGATTCAATTAATGTTAAACTTATTAAAATAAATTCTTCACTAAAATAAAAAACCACTTACAATTAAAATTTACGAAATCTATAAGTACGCCAAATATAAGTAGGAAATTTAAAAAAATTATGAAAAAAAAAATGGTCAGTCTAATTTTTGTCTTTCAAATTACACCCAAAATAAAAGGTTTTACCTTTAATAAGTACTTTTTTAAAGAACATCGCATGATTTTACTTGTAATCCATTAAATGTACCAGTATGTGTATTAGTTCACATTAGTATTATAACAAAAAAAGTAAGGAATATTAGCATCAATGTCATAAACAAACAACAAAATAGAAAATAAACAAACAACAAATAACACGTAATGGCCACAACATCGAATACTTATATACTTATGTGTGTATACAATCAGTTTGTTACATTATTTACTCACCTATATGACTATGAATCTATTAAGTTACTAATCTACCTACTTATACTGAGAAATTATCATGATTAGCGTCTGGTTTTTTTATGTATTTACAAAAATATTAAATGACAAAGTATGACACCTTTCAGACTTGGCATAAACATAATATGTAATCGCCAAGTTTCAAAGTATCAGAGTAATTACGAGGAGTTAAAAAGACTCTACATGAGATCTCGCAACCACAAGCAGGAAACTTGGCTTAATTTTAATAACACCCAAGTCTCCCTAACGTAGTATAAACACCACATGTATAAATAGGTGCACACATACACAAGTCCTGCCCTACCTAATACTCTGACTGTTCTGTTTATTAATTAATTGATGACTTAACACTATTCAATGATACTTATCTACAAAATTACCCCATAAGTTATCAAATTAATTTTCCATGTAAACATCATTTTCCAACAAATTACTAATATTGAATGTTTTTCGCTTTGTGTTTATTAAATAATTGATAATGATATTACCCCGTAAGTAATGAAATAAATTTTCCATATAAATTTAATTTTTTTTATGAAACCAAGTGACGGGACGAACAAGTCGCGCGCCTGGTGGTAAGCGACACGCCAGTCCATAACAGTTGCAGTGCCGCTCAGGGCCTTAAATCGCAAAGGTCTGAGGGCACTAGCACTACGCCCGCAACCCTGAGACATAAATTGACAAGTTCCATGTGCTTGTAATTTCACCATTTAACTGTACCATCATTATCCAATAAAAGAGCAGGAGTTTTAAAAAAATACAACACTTGCTATTGACGTCACAAATTTAAAGGTCCCATATAGTCTACATACTACAGGGAAGTATTGCCACCTTACCTATTTCTGCCGCCAAGCAGAAATGTGAGCATTCCGGTTTGGAAGGGTAAGGGTGCTGGTGAAATAACAGGCACATGGAACTTGTCAACTAATGTCTCAGGGTGACGGGCGTAGTGGCAGTGCCCCTAAGATTTTTACGATTTAAAACTCTGAGTGGCACTGCAACTGTTGTAGACAGGCGTGTCGCTTACCACCAGGCGCATGACTTGTTCGTCTCGTCACTTAGTATTATAAAAAGAAAATACTAACTATTTTGTTAAAAGGGCACGGAATGTTTGGTGAGATGAAAAATGAATTTCTAATTGATTTTCAGCATGTTTATGTAAGTTGTCGATTCTCTACTTCATAGGTAAGTAAATGAAATAATTACAATTTTAATTCTCATGAGTAAAATTAGTACTGTACCACTACTTGTTACGCTCGTGGCCATCGTTACTGTTGTATAAAACTCCAAGTAGACCATAGGAGCGTGTACCAATTACTCGTAAATTCAACTCAAAACGACCACGACTTGCGGTACGTCTAACCTGTTAATTTAAATATTGTACAATTACACGTAAATATAAGTAAATGTTAAGATACACTAACGGATGCTTTAGTGTGCCGTGCAAATACCATCACCATAATATAACCTGTTTCCATATATTATTTATTTTTCTAAAACGCCCGATGGAATGACATTAAATACTGAAAAGTGTCAAAGCGAACCATAGACAGACTTGTACAACGGTTTAATTAAAATATGCATTTATTTCATAGTTTCAAATAACACTGGAAATTATCATGTTGACTTTACTAAACAAATTCCCCTGAGAAGAATGATTGAGAAATGGAAAATAGCTATGCTTCGTGGTAATTATAATGATAGTTGTTACTTGGTTATAGCTATGTACAAATTTGTCTATCCAACGTAACTTATTTTAAACATTAGTGGAAACTGTTTTAGCTAGTGATTGTTTCATATGTGTCAATAACCTCAGTACAGAGTACTAAAAAAACCGACCTCAAAAGTACCTGGAATTACATCTATTTGCCAAGTTTTATTGAAATATGGGGATGTTTAGTTCGCCACTATACAGGACTTGACACAGGAGATAATAAAAATCGGTTCTCACTACTCGAAAGTATATTGAGAGAGAAAAACGCCTTGAATTGAAAAATAGCAAAACCAACCATTAAAATAATTGCTCCTTAAGTAAAATTTAGGCGCCATTTATAAAAATGTGTTCATACGTGATCAGCCACCCTTAGAGATGGATGATTTTCTTCAAAATGAAATAGGATCACTATGGAGGTACCCTCTTTCCAACGAAGAATCATGAAAATCGGTTTACAAATACCGGAGTTATCGCGTAACATACATTAAAAAAACATACAGTCGAATTCAGAACCTCCTCCTTTTTTTAAAGTTGGTTAAAAATAAAATGTATTATATGATGCTGTATGTTTCCCAAATAAATAAAATAAAATAGCATCCATAGCTCTAGCCGCTGACCCACCGAGAGGTAGTAAAAAAATATGCTAATAAGAAACTAATTTCGCCTATTAAACCTGAAACTTAATTTCACATACAATTCAATATTTAAAAAGATCGAAATAATAATAAATATATAAAGAAATAAGTATAATCAATAATCATAAAACGAACATCCACTGTTAAAGTCGTTAATCATGTTTAGGTCCAACACAGACGACGGTAATAATACCATATAACAAAAACTGAAAATATGGATATTGACATTGACGTCAAGAGTCAATCAATGCCAACGATATATATATATCAAGGTTCAAAAAAAATTGTCAACTTTCAGTCTTTTTACGACTCGTGTTACCTATACAGAAAATTAATGACGTCATCAGTGTTGTACCAATGTCAGTAAAGCTGGTTAGCGAAGCGCATGCTCCCAAATGACACAACTCATATGCATACCTTCGACATGTACAAGGCAGCATTCAGTATGGCATTCGTTCTTCCACCTTTGCGTACCTTACTGCAGTCCTATAGACGTTACACATTGTTACTACAGGTACACCAGAGCCTCATTGCAAAAATGTATACCCCTTCTCTATCACTTCTTTAGTTAATGAAAGAGAAGTTTGATTGTATTATATAAGATTCTAGTCAACCTAGTGGACAATATACGACTACATAGTGTACTTTCTAACATATAGAGGCTCTAAAAAAAATAAAACGAGTAGTAGGTCTTAAATGCTGGCGCGTAGAAAGAGATACAATCATTTGATCCGCTCTATCGGCCCACACATTGTCGCACCTAAGGGCCATATCACACAAGCGATATTTAGTCGCAGAACCAGACAAAACAGACGTTGTCATTTCGATAAAGACTTCGATGGTAAAATAAATTAAAAAATAAACCCAAACAAATATATTTTTAACTATGCTTAATCGGTAAAATGACTACCAACCAGTGTGCCACTCTGTCATAAAAAAGCTTGACAAAAAAAATGGGCAGTAACAGTAAAAAAAATTTAAACTTACAGTAAAATCGTGGGGAAAATTTAATTATAAACAAATTTTATTATAAACTTTCGCCAATTTTTAATAAAAGTAGTAAAAACTTTAAAAGCCCCAAATAATATCCCTCTTGCGATAAATTAATAAAAATGTGAACTTTTTTTATAAGGCGTTTTCTACGGAACTATGAAGCGGTAAAGATACTGCCTACCATTAACAAGCATCTCCACAATAATTCAAAAATTTTTATTTTTGTTAAATATTGTACCGTACGTACCTTCATTGGCATTCGAAGTTTAAGAATCTCACTGTAGTCTCGTAATACTTCTAGTGGAGCGTGTATCTGTAGGGAAAAATTATAAACATTGTACTACACACACCTGCAAATTTATCGATTTTAAACCAGTACAACTTATAAATTTTCAACTAATTCACTATATTTAGCTGTGTCACAAAATGTAATAAAAATGCATTTTGTATAATTTCGATTTTTTTCTATAAAACATTGACTAAGGCCGTTGTAAATTGATGTTAAAAGATGTTAATATAATTGTTACTTTATATCTTGATACCTCCACCTAATTTGTTGTAAGTCAAAATACAATTTATTGCTTTTCAACTGAAATATACCTATATATATATACCTATACCTATATTTATATATTTAAAACATGGAACCTATATACATAAAAAAGAATATATTTAAGTTAAAAAGCAAAAAAAGGATTTTTTTTACTTACAACAACTTACGTGTGAGGTATCGACCTAATTTTTATTTATTTAAATACTAACATTAGTCTTTTTATTCTCAATTTGCTGCATGTGCCCGAGTGTGTAGAGTTAAGAACAAATAAAATCGTAAAGCTACATAAACCTGTATAATACTATTGGCATGTCGATTGGCTAGCAGTAAAGCTGCAATATAGCACAATAAAGATAATTTGATCTCCTGGATTAGTCCCTTGCTTTCTACAAGACCCATCGAGAGATGTCGTCATATTATCGAAACTAGTATTATAAATACGAATGTAATTCTATCTGTTACGTTTTCACGCCTTGCTTGCTTTAGTTGAAAGGGCACTAACGACGGCAGTGTAGGCTACTCGAAGTACTTATTCTTTTTTTTTTTTTTTTTTTATACTTGACAGGCAAATGACTCCACTCCACCTGATGTTAAGTGGAAAGTGGTATCCAAACGCGAAGGAACCTAGTGCAGTGATGAAACTCTCACTGCACTAGCCACCTCCACCCTGCCTGCCTACAATATCGAAGACGAAGTCACGGGCACCAGCTAGTCTAGGCTAAATACACGAGGTTATTACATCGGTTATTGGTTATTTATTTATCAAGCGATCAGCTTAAATAGATAACAAATGACTATTATACTCGAAATGTAACATTTTATTCGTGTAAAAAGTGTAACTATAAAAACCCGCAATTTTCTTCATCACACCGAGGGTGGCGCTTTTGATAGAGCCTGTGAACCTCATATGTATGGAGATATTAATATTGGCTAATGCACTATCTATCCACACTAGAACAGTTATTGCATCAGAACAAAAGATTACACTAACCTTAACAAAATGAAGCCCATGGCAGTCAGGTGGCGCATCCCTTTCGAGCTCCAATCCTGCTTCAATGAGATTCTCCTCAAAAACCCTCCTTCTTTCGAGCGCCTCTCGCGTTCTCGCTTCTTCCTTACCCGACTCCCACACCAGCACGTAGTCTATTGAGCGTAAGCCGTCGTTGAATGTCAGGGAGGGATTGTTTAGCACCCCTCCCATCACTATACTGTAATTAGAAATAGAAAAATAAACATGCTGAAATCAACCTGCAAAGGATTACTATGGTAATTAAAAAAGTACTTTATTTCACATTTGGACCACTTATTTCTAGACCAATTAAATGTCGTAACTATGACAAGTTAACAGAGACCTTTAACAAATTAAACCGTAAAAGTCTATGCTAACCAAACTATCTTGGTATAGTTATGGCAACTGAAAACAAATTTTAATGACTTTGCAAAATTATGTACAAGTTTTGGTTAGACACTTGAGTTGTTAGTTGTCGTTGACACGCCGTATGCGATGCCGTGTTAAAAAGCCGTTAGCGCCATATACTCGTACGTATAATAAATATAGTATTCCTTACTTATTTCTACCTCCACCACAGCGACATTGATAGACAAATGGACAAATAACACAATGTACAAACACATACATAAATTATACACCCTCGGAAGACTCGGTCCTGATATTTTCTCAGAGTAAATTCTTTGAGACCAATCCATAATTTGTATAAATTGTTTGATGAATAAATGTGATGGTATACAGAATAAAGATTTTGGATTGTGATTAAAGGATTGTATCTTCTTGCACAGACGCAATCCATTTTCGTGAAATTTGCTATTTTTAATTAGCGTTCTGGTTTTAGGTTAGATCAATCATTAAACATTGTAAAAATAATATAGTAGTAATAGTTAGTGTAGTAATAGTTTATTTCTTTAGCTGTTTACATTTTACAATCATAGTACCAGGAGTCTCCTTTTAAGCATAGCAATGCCTGTGATAGGAGACTCCGCTCTTCCATAACCATAGCTTTCTAATGTATGAACTTATTGTATTTAAAATATTTAAACATTTCAAAAGTTAGATTAATTTGAATAGTGTATTAAGTTGTATGTGTAGCATTAATATTTAATGTGTGAATTTATAGTGAGTGTACAGGTACATGTGTGTGAATGTGTATGAGAGTATATTTGGGAATACTACTGTATGGATCTCAGAAGCGTGTCAACTTCCTCATAATCAAGTAATTCCAACCACTTATATAATATGTTTTTGCGTTCATAATAGGTTTTTTTAAATATGTATGTAACTCTTTATATAATTAATAATGATATTACCAAATACCGTTCAATAAAAATTTGCTACTTCTTTTAATTTTTTTTTTGCTACTTTTTTCTATGTAGTTGTTGCAAATTTTTGTTTTCGGTTTTTAACGACTTTTTTTGCTGTGGCGCCCTCGTTTTTTTTATAAATTTCAACAATAGGAGAATAATAAAAAGTCATAGTTGTATTAACACAACTATAAATTAAATAACTATTTCTTTGTGTGTCTTTAGTGAAAAGTTTGCTTTAACCAGCCGTTTATCTAAAGATTTTAATTTTTATATTCATTTGCAATAAAAAGTATTGTGTTTGATCTCAAAGAATCTCTCGACTATACTTACGAGCAGTGGTTGAGCTCTTTCCCATTACCGACAGCGAGCCCTGCCGGCTCTCCGCACCCGCATTCCTCCGCCGCACGCGTCGATGCTTCACTACCGTTGTCTCTGAAAGTACCCAGGGGATTCCGAACGGTTCACAGCGCATTCTGGTCTTTACCCGACTACTGAGAGCAAAGACAACCAAGCACATGCAATTACATATAGAATAGGTTATTTTAAATGCATTATTGATACTTGAATTATACACAGGGCGTCCGGTAAAGATGTGATAAGCCTTTAAAGGCTTACACTTATAATATAGTTTATGACTGTTAAAAAAAACAGTATACTCCAAGTAGTACCTAAGATATGATTTACTTTTGCCTTTTTTTACGTTTCTGTACACCACGATCACAAATTAATGAATTCAATGCCTCCGTGGCCGAACGGTTATGGACACAGAGGTTCCGGGTACGATTCCCGGGCCGGGAGAAATATTTGTATGGCCTACATTTATTTATCTCCTGAGTTTGGGTGTAATTTGTGGTTGTCTACCTATGTGTGCGTCCATGGCACCCGCGAATCAGGGTTTCCCTAGTGCCCGGCTATGAATGTGTGCGTAAAAAAAATGCAAAAGCAGCAAATTTGACTAAAAAATTAAGTTTTCAAAATTAAAACATTTCTGTCTGGAATTGTACCTAACCATTGAGGCTCATAAAAAACCATATTAGACAAATATTTAAAATTATTTACAGCAAATGTTGATGAAATGATTTAGGTCTGGCAACGTTTCAAGTGAATTCAATGATAATGATCAAGTTTAAATAACAATTCAGTGCAGGGTTTCTTAACCTGTAGTCCATGGACCTCTAAGGGAACCGTGTAATGAACGAAGGGGGTCCATGACGAGCCTACCTAAGATTTGAGCATTGAGCATTAATATAAAATTGGTATACATTACGTTGTAAGTAAAAAGGTGCAGTGCACGTGACCTGTTTGAATTTTCGCCCTTTGACGGCTATCCATTATAGGAACGAGAGAGACGCGCATTAATGCAATCCGCGAGCCTTTCTTATTTCACTTACTATTAAAAATTCTATAAAAAGAATACTTGTTAATCTAACCGAAAAGGGTAAAATTTTGAGAGGGGTCCATGAGTAAAAAAAGGTTAAGAAACAATGGTCTAATGCTTTGTCTAGCTCATGTTACATCCATGACATGATCTCCTCGTATTTTTCCGTATTCTCTCATTTTTGCTTTACTCCCATCTGGTTTCAAGCGAAAGAATTGATGTATCACGTACACCGGTACTAGGAATATTATAGCAATCCTGGAATGCGGTTATATTATGTAAGTATGACCTACTAAGGCGACAATTTATTTCAAAATTATTCAACTTTCAACGAATTACAAGTCGCGGAGCAACACACGTGCAGACTTGTGTGTGGTGGTGAATCCTCTACACGGCCGCAGCGACAACGACATACAGTGTAGTTAGTGTACATTGAAACGGTTCCAGTCTCCTTTGCACGAATTATTTATGTCATGGTTATTATTAGGCCTATTATGGAAAAAGAGACAGCTAATGTTTGTTTTGTTCACATAATAATACATGCTTCTATATTTTATTTTAATGAATATTATGATATTTTTACTAACATGATTTGCATAATACATATTTTGTGAAAGTACTCCACTATAAATTCGAACAAACACAAAGAAAAATTCCTTCGATCTGGCTGGATAAGGCTGTAGAGCTAGCACAACAGGGCGCGACAGCGACATGAAGCGCTAGATACTGCTATTCTCGCATAAAGATCCCGCGCCTTGTCGTGCTAGCCGTACTTAACTACTACTTGGAAAAGAAAACTCTTCCATACGTTTCTCACAGATGACGCTACGGCAAAAAAGTCGTTAAAAAACAAACACCTGCAAACGAGCACGTAGGGATATTCGTAAGGTCTGCTGACTCGTTCTGTAGCACAGTTGGGAGAGCGATAGCCCAGGTACGGCAATATCGCTAGATCGGGTCCAGCCGGATGGAAAGAGTTTTTCTTTGTTTGATCTTTGTATCAATAATAAATACATGCTGCTGTTTATGTTTGTGCTCTTAGATTATTTCGCTGCATTATCCTATAGTAGCTCAAACGCTACCTTCGAGGAGCCACAAAAACTAATATGAAGAAATCGTGCACATAACTCTCATGGGTCCTTTTGAGGCGTCATCTATAGGCACAATATTGAACTACTAGCCAGGACCTGCCAATAAATTCTTCTTCTTTCTGCTTATTGGAGATTTTCGATTCCGTTAGTATAAAGTTTTCCGCTTAGTAATTTTAGAACGGGACGGTGCGCGAGACGCGAAATCACGCGCGCGGTTGCGGAGACCACAGACATATATCTAGATAAGACGCCGCAAGTGTACATACTTGGCGTACCCAAAGTAAGTGAAATTCACTTACTTGCCGCTGCTACACTTCAGAACGCGCTCGATCGTTATCGTAGATAAACACCAGTCGAAAACGCGAAAAATGCATAATTGTGCCATTATAAACTGCAAAAGCACCATAAATGTGGTAAACGGGTAAACAGGGACGTTTCCTTCCACGGGCAAGTGATTTTGTAATCAGAAGATATATAATTTATTTTAAAAACAATTATTTTGGTTTTGTACGAATTTCGCGAAAACAAATATGCAACCGAATGTATGCCTCATGATTTGTAATACATTGCGGCTTATACTTGGTGCGATATATTTGTGATCCTTTGTTAATACGCTATGAATATCGAACGAACGCATCCAGTTTCGTGGTACGGCCACTTGTACATTTCTTTGGTCAAATTTAACATTTAGTGATGTATACGTTAGGCAACACTGTTCTTGATTCTGATCGATTTTGAAAACAGAGGGACGAAAATTATTATGACCTTGGCAATATTATAAAAATGTTCCATACCTCTTTTGTTATAACGTTATCAGTAATATCTGTGTTTACGCGTATTCCGTTCAATCAATCGATTTAGAGCGAGCGGAAGGTTTCCTTCACTAAATAGCTCTTGTGACGTCATAGTGTGTACAAAAAATGTGGCACGCTTGGTTTTTATACAAATTGCTGTACTGGCATCGTCTATCTAGATATGTCTGTGGCGGAGAAGCAGGTCTGCGTCAATGCGCGGTTTTAACTGCGCGGGGGCAGCGGTCTAGCGGCCCCACGCCACTCAAAGTGCTCACTTCGTAGTTGATCGCCGTAGTGATTGTACATGTACATGTACATTCTATGACAAGAATGGTTAACTCATTCAGTACGCTGCAGTTTGCAGCTGCCTATTTGGTTTTTGTTTACTCAAATAAAAAGGCACCGAAGATGTTGCATACATCCCTTTTTGCGAACCAGAGCGATAAATGGATCATTTCAACTTCATTACAAAGCTTTAAGAAAATATGAAAATAAATTTTTCAACTACACACGTATGTCAAATGAATTCTTTGATTGTTTGTTAAGAATAATCCGAATGACAATTAATGGACTAGATACAAATTGATAAAAAATCTACGCGGTAGTGCGGAGCGCAGTGTGCCATACCCTGCGACTGCCTGAGGTACGCCGCGCCTCTCGGGGCGGGGGCGCGGTAAAACCGCGCGCGCCGCGGTCTGCGGCCTCGTATTCCAGAACTGTACTCAATGCTCAATTCAGGATTTGAGCACACTTGAGTATGATTTTAAGCACTGGAAATACTACCCTAATGGCAAGGACTTGAGTATGATTTTCAGTGCTCACTGTAATACTCAAGTCCTGACTTGAGTATTGAGTAGAGTTCTGGAATACGACCCTTAAAGTCGTAGAAAATCGTACTACGAAAATCACTACTAATACATCACTATTAATACAAAGTAAAATATCACTGTTGCATATTGTAATTGGAATTTAATTGTCTATGTCAAGCCGTAGACATAAAGATTAAGCGCGAAACAAATTGACAGTAGGGGTCGTATTCTAGAACTCTACTCAATGCTCAAGTCAGGATTTGAGTATGGTTCAAAGCACTCGAAATCATACTCAAGTCCCTGCCATTAGGGTCGTATTTCCAGTGCTTGTGTTTCCAGTGCAATCCTGACTTGAGCATTGAGTAGAGTTCTGGAATACGACCCTCAGTGTGTTGGACGGCGTGTGGTTTCCACTCAAACTGAGGCACTTCAGTACAACGTTAAAAAACGCAGCTCCGCGCTCCATCGCGAGACGCGGTGCAGTGTGTTAATCGCCTAAATATTGGTATTTAAGTTTGAAAGCAAAATCTGATGAATTATTAATAGTCATGGTACAAAAGTTGTTTCTGCGAGATTGTTTATCATCATCATCATTTAGCCATACGATGCCCACTGCTGGGCCACAAAAATCCCTGTATACTCACAAACAACAACGACAAAGGGAGAATTAACATAATTTATAAAGTGAATCGTTATTAATCTGTATGCAGTAGTCATTCAGAGCGTCGTATTATATTTTGTTATTTCACCTATAAAGTAAGTACGAATATTTATGTAAGTATTTATTTACACATGAACATTCAATTAACACGATAGCGTTTAGCTAAAATAGCTTTTACGTCAAATCATTTTAACGGATATAAAATAGTGACGTTTCTTTGATTTACATTAACACTAGTGTTAATGTAAATCAAAGAAAAAAAATCTAGTGTTAATACCTAGGTATTTAGTATTATAAATAAAGTGTATTTAGTTATTTTAAAACGTAAGCTCATTAACATTCCTCTAGGTAAATCTAAAACAAAACAGGATAATTAACGAAAAATGCATAAACAACACAAAACACTAAAATAAATTATTTTTAACAACACATTACAACACTGAACAAGGAATAATTACAGTCAAATCAATTGATTACCATAAAAACAAAACAGTACTGCGAACAAATGTAACAAAAAACATATCAATGACACGCAATTCAATGACAGAAGCACTTAGCACTTTAACGCCACCACCTTATAACGTACAGGCAATTTATAAAGAATAAGCTCTTTTTAAAAAGACCATGTAACAGATAGAAAATCAAATAAATCATAATTAACGTAAGAGTAGTGCGTTACACTGATAAATGTGAAGAAATAAAGGTTATATCAGAAGATAGTTCATGTACACATGAAGAAGAAACTTAAGTCCTGTTAATGATCGACAGCAAACTAAATCGTGTATTTAAACGTCTGACATAAGAAAGATTTATCGAAAAGTATATGCAGAAAATACTTAAAAAGCAAACACGTAAATAATTTTAAACATTTTAATGAATTTAAGATCAACGCGATATAGATACAATACAGAGATGCAACATGATATTATATATGTAGTTGGTATAACGCGGCTCTCTCACATAGCTTATAACTACATCGCACACAAAACCAAATGCTGTCGTAACTGAAAATTGCGGAATTGAGAAGACACCATTTGAAAATTTGAATAAACTGAATGAAACCAGAACGAAAATGTATGTACATGTAAATGTACATGTTCTCGTACGTAAAAAAAATATTAAGAATGACGTAAAAATAAAAATAATCACATTATTCGCAATCCATTCAGTATTTTTTTAATTTTTAAATCGTGTTTTCTCAATTCTGCAATATTGAGTTACGACAGTACTTGATTTCATGTGCGACATGCTCTAAGGGTTCTCTAGGTAAAGTCGTGCTGTACGAGTCAATAACACGTAATTCCCGTTCTCGTGAGGCAAAAGCACTGCGACTTTGTGTTGTTGCAATATACAGGGTACAGGGTAGTGTTGTAATTACTTTTTAAATATTGTTTATGTAAGTGGCCAGTTCCGGAAACTTATAGTGCGACCTATGTATATCATGGTTATGCCATACGGACGGAAAGTACCTACTTTAAATATTGTAGATAGCTATTTTGCTTCTTAGAGACATTAATATTATTCAGTTTTCAACTTTGTTTAATTTTTTATTAAATTGTATGAACTTGAACGTTGTTCCTTTAATTTAATTTAAGATACTATGTTACTTAAAAGGAATAAATCCTTGTAATTTCGATGGGCATCATAAAAATACAGGTGTTTATTTTTTTACGCTTCGCTTCCCAGTTGAGACAAGAAACTTTTAAAATCTTTGTATCCAATGTTACTTTTAATGTCATCATGAGATAGAATATCGTATTTACAATATTTGAAGTACTTTGCATCAGTGTTGCATAGCCGTGGAACAACCAATGTGTAAAAAGTATTCAAACTCGTTTTCGATAAAACTTTCTTCAGAAACATGTTTAGTCAGCGGGTGAGTCAATGAGTGCGGGGATGTGCAAGGCACTCACCGATCGGTGTTCATGTCCTGCGAGAGATTGTCCTGGTAATTGCTGAGCACCGACATTGCCTGCAGGTCCGTCTTCTCCGTCGCCTCCTTCTCCGCCTGGCCCAAACAGTTGCAATATTTGGCGATACAATCAAACACTAGAGAATCAAAAACGTACCACAAATGGCTGATTCTTCAACAGGACTTAGACATACACGAGTCAAACCAGATGAACCATGAAAAAGGACGTACTTATACGAGGACATTATTTCAATTCGCAACAAAAAACATTGTCGGTCCGTGTTCAAGCACATTGTTCTTTTATTGTGGACTTTTATGACACAACAAAATTTGCCATTTAATGACACATTCGAATTCGTTATACCTTTAAAGGTCTATCCATACATATCCGGGACGTGGACGGGCCGTGCTCCGTCAGGAGCTCAAAAAAATATCGTTGCGTATATTTTGTATGAACTCGTCCACATACGTCCGTGCCGGCGCCGGGACGGGGCCGCAGTTCATACAAACTAACACGCCTCATCCACGTCCCGGGCACGTCACTGACGTGTGTGGATAGTCCTTAAATCGTCGCGTAAAACAACGACCATACCCACATAAAACAAGACTTTACATTGTATATGTATTTATATAGTTATATAACCGTTACGACTGCTTTACAACATTGCAGACTGATATGTAAAAAGAACTTGCAGCAAAGATTGCAGATTTCCAAGAACACTTCGTTTAGAGACACAAACAACATAGAAACTGTACACTAAAATTCTCTAGGTTCACAAACATAGCTTAAGAAAATAAGACTCGTTAAAAAACACAGGTCATACGTTGCATTTCCCACGTTTATATCTACGAGCACTTAATAATACTACATCATATATCACGTAAAATAACAGTTGAAACAACCATCGTGGAACCATATGTTGAACAGTAAACATCATTCAATACTGGGAAAAACGTCGAAAAACGCAACCGACCTTGCTTCGTTCACACGGACACCACTGATTCATCTTATTAAGAGACCAAAGTTAGATAAATGTAGCTGATATACCTACATTTTATAATTCTCAGATAAAAGATAAGGAAGGAGATTGAATAACAGCCTTAGAGTAAGTGCGTAGAATTAGAATCAATTTGTTGCTACACTATTTATTCTATTTATGAAAAGGTTTGGCTATAGTTAATTCGTCATAATAGTAAATTGTATATTGAAGTGTACCGCGCGCACCTTCATTGTGGCTTATTACAGCCAATTTTAGTGTACAGCTAAGAACAAAAGTACGTTCATACTTGAAGTGGGAGAGCAGAATACTTAACGTTGAACTTTAGTGCAATATTATACAGCTAAGTATGACGACGCAGTGAAGGTTGAACCTTGGTTAAGAAACTTAATCGTCAGAGTTTATTGCGGATTTGGTGAATGGTTTTCGGCGTCAGAGTGCAGGTCGATTTTTTTAATTTTTATGATACCAAGTGCCGGAATGAACAAGTCGTGCGCGTAGTGGTAAGCGACACGCCTGTCCATAACAGTTGCAGTGTTGCTCAGAGCTTTAAATCGCAAAGATCTGAATCTGCGCCCGTCACCCTGAAACATAAGTTGACAAGTCCCATGTTCCTGTAATGTCACCAACACCCTTACCCTTCAAAACCGGAACGCAGCAATTCTCACATTACTACTTGGCGGCAAAAATAGAAAAGTTGGCAGTACTTCCCTGGAGGAACTCTTTCACAAGGAGCTCAGTTGGACGGATCGAAAGGAAAGTAAATAATGGAGAAACACTACACCGGTACAAAAAACACAACACTAATAGAATCTACTTCGCAGTTTTCCTTTATAATATCTTTGGAACTACAAGATCTTCCAACTAAATAACTAATTTTAAGTCTTCGTTCACAAACTAACACTAATGTTGTCTGGAAACACACCATATTTGATGAAAACACTATTCGAGAATGCGACAAAATTGACTAAAAAGATATGCTATGCTATACATTGAAAATATTCATATTAACGCCATAGAAAATATTCAAGCCAGAATGATACTCAACTGTAATGAAATAAGAGTGAGATGCTTAGCAGTTCGCTGTATGTGTACATAGTTAACAAATGAGTATACGTTATTGCACTTAACTTTATTAGTTAACTGTCCTGGGGATTGGCGTGACGAATAGTTAAATATTGACTTTTTGTTAACACTACTTCTAAGAATAAATTTGTAAGAACAGGTTTTAGACATTTCGATGACCAATTGTATTTTGTAACTGATTGTAGTGGGAAATACGGAAGGAAAACGTATGCGTATTCACATACCAACAAAAATCAAGATGACCGATCAATTGAAAATAGTATCGTCCTCTTTAATTTTATTATGATCAGTCCTTCATACAAACTTTCGTCCTCTATTTCACCCCTTTCAGATTTAGTTCTGGGACAAAAGTAGTCTATGTCCTTAGCCTAGGTCCCTTCAATCTCTACACCAAAATTGATCAAAATTGGTTCAGCGTTTAGGCGTGAAAACCCAACAGACAGAGTTACTTCTGCAATTATAAGTCACACTTCTATTAGAAGATTTTCTTTGGTTTTAACCCCTTTCCAAATTCTTAAATTTGTATCCTAATATTGCCTGGGAGAATTGCAACTTAGCAATGAGAGCGCCTGTTGTACATTAGGTTATTCTGTGACATTTAATGTTATATGTTGTCGTTGTTTTTTAAAATGCAATAAAGAATTTTTCATTCATTCCTCTCAAATTTACTTGGTCGTATAATACCCAGAACGCCCAGACCACAAATAATTGAAAACGTTTATTTCCCAAATTGGTTCTACCGGGTATCCAACCCGGGTCCTCCTCATCCAGCGTTCACAAACCGTTGGGCCACTGAGATCGTCAGACATTAAATCGAACGATCCTGACACTTGTCGAAAATTCTCGTTCCAAAATGTTTTTTACGGTAGTATTGTATGAACACAGGGCTTTTTCTGACCGTTTCAGAGGTTGACCAATTTAATTTCATGTTAGAGTTCGTCCAGAGAAATGTTGCCACCTCACCTATTTCTACCGCCAAGCAGTACTATGAGCATTACTACTTTTTGTTTAGAAGGGCAAGAAGGTTGATGGTTCAACTACAGGCACATGGGACTTTACAACTTATGTCTCAGGATGACAGGCTCAGTGGCGGTGCCCCTCAGATCTTTGCGATTTAAAACTCTGAGCAGCACCGCAGCTGTTATGGACAGGCGTGTTGCTTACCACCAGGCGAACTTCCTTACCACATAAGGAAGGAAGCTGAAATAGTCTGAACAATTTCCTGTAAAATTAATATTATTTATTATAATACAAAGAAATATTCGGTTAAAAAATAATAAAGTGAAATAATAAACAAATAAACATTTGTAAAATAAGCATATTTTTGAAAGACATCTGACATCTGTTCAAATAGACTTCATTATTACAGACGGAAAAGTTGTAACTGATCAAAGATGTCGAATATATTTGAAAATTTTAATTACTTTCTTATTCACGTGTTTTATGGTACTAATACCTAGTAATAAGTGACCTAATAATTTAAACAACACATAATGTACCTTTTTATCACACTTAACCCTAACTGGAATTCTAACGTGCAAGACTCTAGGGCGGTAATTTTGTTTTCTTAATTTCCATGCTCCCGCCACTCGCTAGGAGCGCGTACAAACTGCCAATTCGGTTGTCGCCACACGTCATAATGTAATTTGTTAATTTATTTACGTAATTTTCCTTTTTTATTTAACTTCCTTACAAGTGTGATGAAAAACATTGTATGCCACACGGATAGTACAGCAATTACAAACGTTCACGCCCATTAAGCCCTCATCTTTGGCTAAAAAACTCATTTTAGTTTCAATGCCAAAGACAATACTTTACTCTGACAAAAATGCAAAAAACTAAATACAATACTTAATTCTTTTTTTTTATAAATAATACATGCTTGGCCACAATACACCTGATGTTAAGCGACGAGTGACTGACGATGGTACGCGTTTGCCTTAAAAATGCTTATTCACTCTAGCCTTGAATAGCCCCAAATTGTACTTTTCGGGAAATACAGATAGAGTATTACATTCCTTTGCCGTACGCATCAGAAAGGAGGAAGCCAAGCGCTTAATGCGAATGGGTGGTATATCAACGACATAAGGATGGAGTGTTCCGAACCTTCTAATCCACCGAAGGAGAAACGGTGAGAGTGGAACTAAATTGAAAAGTTCCTGCGCACAGTCCCCGTAATGTATTCGATAGAAAACCGCCAAGCAGGCTACTTTTCTGCGATAGTCGAGATTATGTTGCCCCGACTCCACAAGAGAGTTGTTGTTAATAAGACTCTGCTTTTCGCTGATAATGGGCTGAGCCGTCCCAAAGGTGGCAGCAGTATTCCATACACTATCGATCTTGTGCTTTATACAGATTTAAAAGCTGTTCAGGTGTGAAATATTGCCTGACCTTGTGAAGTATGCGTAGTTTTTTGGCAGCAGTTTTTGCCAAACCCTCAAGCCCAAAGCGCGCAAAGTTAAAGTTGTCACTTTTCGCCACGGATACGTCTCGGAAAGTCGGAATAAGGAGTAGAGCACTCCGTTTTGATGACAAAAGACACGCCTGTGTTTTAGCCCCATTAATCTTGACTCTGTTCACATGTCCCGAATCGGCAGCCGCTTTCACGCTCAGGTTCAGCCGGGTGACCATCGCCACCAATTTATACCGGATTTCTACAAATATTCAAATATTTCAGTCGCATTGGTAATTTCTTACTCAGAACACAATTAACCTTGACGTTATAAAGATCTTATTTTAAGTAAAGTACTAATAAAAAGCAAAGATACCAACTTGAACAGACTTCTAAAATCTTGTGCAAATTTCATCGGTTCAACATAAACAAAACACAGTGAATCATTGGCTGCTGCACAGAAGGTTTACATTACAGGCAGTGGCGCTAAAACTTTTACAAGGCTGTATTATAATATAATACCATTTCCACAAGCGACATTGCTTTTATCATCAGCCCCAATAAACCAGACCATTGCTGGTCAAGTAACAAAATAATTTCTGTATTACTAAAATTCTCTAATAAAACTCTGAGGGGAATTATGCACGATTCTGATAAGGCAGTGCAGGTTCCCTGTATTAAATAGGACCATACATGTGATCCAAATACATAAGTTGAAACTGTCTTTCTAAACTCACAAGTTTAATACAGTGATTATGATGACTTAAGGTCATCTCATCACTTACACCGGTTCGCCTTATGACGCCCGACAAGGCAACGCACCGGCTCAAACTATATAGAATGGAGTTTTTAATTAGGCCGCACAACATGGCCTGTTCTGCAAGGGGCAGCGCGGTAAAAACCAAGATAGATCTTTATTGAGGCATTGTACTTTTTTGGAGACCTATAGTATTTCATTAAGCTTTCTTGGCTTGGAGACATCGAAAAGTTTCATACTTTCGTCAATTTCAAGTCTGGGTAAAACACTGCCATATTGAAAAGTATGCATAAAAACTAACCATTTTAGTTTCGCTTTTATTTTACACACAATGTTAAAACTTTACTAAATTTGATAACGCTTGGCATTGAAATACTTTAAAATAAGGTAATGGTTATTTAAGTGACAATGATAATGAACGCTCTGCTGGAACATTTTTTTCAGAAACTATGTCAATTATTAAAATTTACTGCGTTGTTAGTAGGTTCGTCGATCTTCGAAAAACATCAATTTTAAACGCTATTTTCCTAAAATCTGGAACTGGCAAAGTATGCTATCGAAAAGTCACATAAAAGCTGACTAGGGCCAATTGTTGATTGCAACCAGTCGCGACAAATTCCCGTCATCTGAATAGAGCTCAAAAGACTAAAAGAACCCAAAATAGAGATAACTTTCAAAATAAATAGCTGACAACAAAACATTTATCCTACAAACACAAAAGAATTTTCACAAAGGTTGGCAAACACAGGCAGGGCATGTTTCTCTCAACAGGATGCCAATATGGTAGCTGTTTAAATACATTTGCTGATAAGAGCCCCATGAGATCATCTGTACAGTATACTAATGAGCTAACATAGCTACATGAAATACAAATTATTCATTATTATTATAATTGGCATTACAATTGTTGAATGGCATTATTGAAATACCTTAAAAGTATTAAGTACTCTATTATTTTAATATCTACAGTTTTGAGAAAACATAACAACTCGATTTGTTTTTTTTTTTTTTTTTATTATGCTACTTAGTGAATGAGCACTTGGGTAAAATACGAAATTGAATTAAATTAGCGGTTTAATAAATATTGTTTTTTTCTGCAAGGAAAATAGGCAATGTATGGTATGGTATATTGTAACGAACTGGTATCTGCAACTTGACCACTACGCGCGTGTGGTATAGGCGATGTACATACAAAAAAAAGCTTACTTTCTCCTAAGCTTTTGTTATATATGTGACAGGCAGATGACTCCACTCCACCTGATGTTAAATGGAAAGTGGAGTACAAACGTGAAAGAATCTAGTGCAGTGTTGATACAATCACTGCCTAGCCACCCCCACCCTGCATGCCTACAAGATGCCTCTTCAAGATTCAAACAATAAAGCAATTGAGGATAGTTTATTATGTCATTTCATAACTGAATTATAAATTGAATTGCAGAACAACCGAGATAATATGACAGGAGGAACAGGTGTGTTTGTAAATAAACATGAGCCTATTTTACAACCAGAACTTACCACAAAAACTGCACTTCATACATACATTACATAGATATACACTTAAAAAGGCATATTCACAGATAAATGAAGCTAATATGTATGTTCATAGACAATGGAAAAAAGAAAGGAGTCAGTTAAATTATTTTCAACTCAATCATATGGTGAAAATAGACAGCTATGTAAAAATTGGCAGCATTCCAAAGCAACAGCATAGTGAAAATAAACAACACATTTCAATATTGTTATTCAAAGACAAGAAGGCTTAATAAACAAAGCTGTCACTTAATAAACTATGCTTATTTTTTAATTCAAAGCCACTATTTACTCAATGCAAAGTCCATTGCACAAACATCCATTGACTTCCATGCCTTAAATAACATGCTATCTCAAGTTTTGCTTTGATAAAGAAAAGGATACTGTTATAGTCACAGACACTTTAAATTTAAAGAACATATCTACAATTTTTTGTCAAACACTAGGCTTTATACCAGATTAAACACCAATTACCATTTCTTGTAGCATAGACCATTGTTGGTGTCAGTGGGCAAAATTATTTCTATAAAATTACGCAAGATGCAAAAAAGACTGAAATAGGCAGGAATAACCTCCAAATACTGACTAAAACGGACTGTCATAGGTAACCAAAATGTTCAACCTCAAACTAAGCAAGAGCAAAAACTGACACCATGAAATGAATATGACACCCCCAACAAAATGCTGCTTTCTATTAGGCATACAAATTCACTCCACCAGCACTAGCAGAACTGTAATACTGTAATAATCGCAAGGATACCTTGTATGCCTCTGCCAGAGGTGGTCAACACAATCACGGCTAAGGAGATCCTACAACTCTTTAATTCTATTGATCTTGACTCTGAGGTATAATGAGTCAAAATCACACTGAATAAGTCATCATAATGAATAATAATAATGATAAGGTCCAAATATCATTGAAATAGGTAATTAACAAGTTGCTTACAATATTCAATCTCACATTTCTTCCTTGCATGTTAAAGAAAATATTTAACATAATGTTTTGCAAATTGTATGTACTGTGAATTGGAATGTACTTAGGTAAATTAATGAATAATAAATCTAAGGTATATCAATTAATGAAAAATAAGGTAAATACTTCAATTAATGACTCAATTCATATTTTTGTAACTATAGTTCAGAATAGATTGGTTTGCATTTTATGTGACTGATACCACCTCTGTCAAACATGATCATGGGACCTAAGAAGAGGAAGAGCGGAAAATGTTGTTGGTTTGTTTGAAAAACCAAATATACTATGTTTTTTTTAAATGGGACAATAATGGGAAATCCCAAGCCATAGAGGATACATGGAAATTGTCTAAGGAACCATTCAGTCTTTTTTTGTGAAAATAATTTGGGCATAGCAAATTTTTTGATCATGTGTGTGTGTCCTGTGCCCGTAAAATGAATAAAATTGATCAACATTTTTTTTAGTACTGATCGACTCAGTTCATGAAGGGATCATTTAATTGTTTGGGATAAAAAAAATCATGACAGCAAAAGTTGATCAAATTTCATAAAATATTTTTTCATACAAAATGATGAATATCAATTTTACTCATTTTATGGACAACTCACGGTTGACCAAAAAACTTGTTCCAAATTGACTGTGCCAAAATTATTTTCACAAAAAAAACTTAGTGGTTGCTAAGACAGTTTCCTTGTATCATAAGCATTCGAAATGTTGATTAAACCAAGGAGCAGAAATATTTATGTGCATTCATGACTCAAGTTCAAACTAACCCAGTACAAAGCAAACACATACTTTAATAAAGCTCATTAATTTATATTAGTATCCAACACAAAATATTTCAGAGAAGAACGCATAATTCAGGTCTCGAGGTAACTTCGATAAAAGTTCTGTTTAAAATAATTATAAAGCAAAGGGTAAACTCACTTCGAGGAAAGCTCCATCTCCACTTTCGAATAGTTGTTTGAACGCAAGCTCATTGCGCTGAGCGTCAGTCAGGAATAATTCAGTCTCAGCAACGTCAGATCTTCTATGGTGCAGTTTCACGCTCCCAGCATAAATCGGAGTCGCTATCTTAGGTGTAAATACATTTTCTTCAACTTTCTCAAGCAACGGTAGCGGTATATCCTCCTCGAGAGATGGATCGCCGTCAGACATCACAGAACCACTCAATACCGCCACACGGACATAGCCAGGACGATGACTTCCTCACAATTAGTCAGACCGAAGTTCAATAGCAATAAAAATCTGATTTTCACTAGAATGTGTATGTACACGGCAGCTTAGTGTAGCAAAAAATTGATAGTGGGTATGCACAATAACGCGTAAATTATTATTCAATATTTACAGTACAAAATACCCCCAAATTATAAATAAATAAATAGGAAATCCTGAAACTAACTTCAGCCCACCTTCAAAGAAATGGAGCGAGTGAGAGAGAAAGGACGACTAAAAAGGAAAAAGATAGAGGATACCTGTATTTGACTTCAGTATACAGATTTCTAAAGACAGTATAAGAAAAATCGACTCGATTACTATCAAAACAAAAGTATTTTAAAAACCTGTCTCTAAATCAAAATTTATATTTAAAGAGCAGTTCTTCATCTCATTGATTACCTTTCCATCTTGAAAAATATTTAGGTTGAGTATCTAGTATTATTCAATATCTATCTAACACACTGACATACAGTCTCCTTAAGCGGTCCTTGTAAACGCGAGAGTTATAAAGTATTGCAATTTAGCAATACATTTTACTACCAGAGAATATTTTCTATGTCCTATTCTGTTACAAAATTTGCCATAAAAGTATTTTTCACCATGCGAATGTAAAAAGAAAATGTTTTAATTTGTTTAAAAGTACACTACATAACGCAATTGTAAAATGTTATTAACAAAAATATTCATTTTTCTTTAACAACATTTTCTATTTGGTAGTTTATTTTCACATAGCTATCATTTCTGCCACGCCGCTCGTCAAATGTCAAATCGCGTCGGTGGATGGAAATCAGAATAGGTTGCCGGCGTTAATTTGTGTTGATTTTATCAAATAATTTTAGTAATATTTATGTAATATATTTAAAAATACTGTTAAAATATCGCAAATCATGACAGCGGAGGTAAATACCAAGAGGAGGCTTCCTCACTTATCCTCCGACAAACAACTCACTTTCATAAAACTTACTGTTTTATCAATGGTAGCGATATTGTGTAAGTATTTTTATCCTTATTTTAAATCTAACAAAGCTGCATAAATCCACTTTCATTATTTCTGTTAATTAAAGTCGTGCTTTTGTTCGTTTATAAATTATTTACGTGGTCCTGTTCAGGGGTGTCAATGGCCGACATATACTGATGATATTTTTGGACTTTTTACAACAATTAATTAATACGCCAATGTTTTAAATTGTAAATTGTTCTGCAATTTCAGCTTTCGCAACGAGACTTTTTTCTGTACTCCGCTTTGAGAGCGTAATCCATGAGTTCGATCCGTATTTCAATTACCGTACAACGCGATATCTAACGGAGGAAGGTTTCTACAATTTCCACAACTGGTTTGACGACCGAGCATGGTACCCATTGGGTCGTATTATCGGTGGTAAGTATAGATTCCTTCACCATACAATATTTCATTCAGATATTAAAGGTAAAATAATTGTTTTCCTTCAAATGTTGTCTTCCAAATTAATATCAATAAACACTCGTACTATTTAAAGTTCAGAAAGAATTTTGCTGGCTCATGTATGAGGAGGATATTTTTCAGATTATTTTCTTTACTTAATTTCAGTGGCAATTATTATTTAAGTACTCAAGTAGTAAACTATTGTGAAATATTAAATAATATTTCAGGACTACATTTGAATATTGAATAATACTTCATGTTAATTCTACGATACATAAATAGTAATGATAATATTATTTATCGCAAAACATGCTGTTACAATTAGGTCATATAGTGGTTGGCAAAGTATCAAACATGGTCCGTGTGAGGGTGCAGCAATGTCAATTTTAACATATACAATTTGATTACCGTTAATTATAATATTATTACAATGAAAATAGATCAATCTAAGCAAATATATTCTGAAAGTCAAATAATTTCATTTTAAAATTACTGTGAAATTTAAATTTAAAATATTTTAAAAATAAATCGATTTATTTATCAATAATTAATCGATAAACAATTAATTTAATATCAATTAATTAAAATTAATCATCAAATTATTCTAGTATTGTATAATAATAATAACACTTATTTGTCAATTAAATCTTCTTAATAATTTTGTGTTTATTTACTCTGTGATATTATTATTATGCATTTATTTTATTAAATTACATAATTATAGTATCATATTATTATAATATAGTTTTTTTTCAACATTACATTTTTTTATAACAATGTGAAGAATATTCTTCATCACTACTAGAGAAAACTAACCTAAAAATTACCCAAGATCAAAATCTCGCATCTGGGATTATTAAATTAATCTAAGGTTTTTGAGAAAGTGAGCATAAAAAGTCCCTCAATTTATGATGCCTTTCTGTAAATACCCAATAGTTTTTAATGCTTTCAGTTTTATGCTACACACATCTAGTCATATTCTCGTTAAATAAAGAGTCTATTCATTGAAAATACTTCAGAATTAGAATGTAGGGCTTAAGCAATATGGAAAACCAATATTGATGTGGTAATTACTAGAAATTTGTGTCATTCGCAAAACTATTAGTGGCAGCATCCGTTGGTATTTTATCTGGCGGCAAGTCAGCGTGATCAGCAATATATTTTTCAGGTGTTTAAAAAACACTAAAACATTATTTAAATCATCTTTGTAGTCTTTTACACTTTAACATGTATTTTAATGTGCAATTAGGTAAAAATATTCCACTTAAGTAACATTGTAAAAAAATAAACACATTCTTAAATTAAATCTAGTATGAATAGAATTATAAAAATTTAATAAAACATTGACAGGAATGTAGTGCATTGCAACTGTACGAAAATAAAGTTTATAATTAGCAAACAATTTTTTTTTTTACATTAAAATAAACAAATATTCAAATTACGGAAACAAGATTGAAAAAAAATTAAATAGGCTTTTGTTAAAGTTGCCATTTTGTCACAAAAAATAAAAATCAGCTTAATATGTCCCAGGTACAATATACCCTGGCCTGATGGTCACTTCAGCGACATTGTACAATATAATGCAGTTCCTGAATATCACCATTGACATCAGGAATGTGTGTGTATTCCTTGCACCATTCTTCTCTTCACTCACCACCATTGTCACGTATCTGCTGACTAAGGAATTGAAGGTATTAAAGGTTCCGTTAAAAAAATACATAAAATTATATGCTAAAGAATATTTTTTCCCTGACTAAAAAATTACCTGAGTAGGAAATCGACTCAGAGCATAACTTGCGAAGTTCTTTTTAAAAAATGTGTCAATTTCTTCTTCAATTGTTGTTAAGTTTCAGCTGCACTAAAATGTAATATTTACAATTTGATTTTTTTGTATAAAAATTTTATATTAACACATAAATTTCACGTATCAACAGGACGAAGGTGCGGGACTAGTAGCAGCAGCGATGATCGCTATTGTGCCTGGCTACATCAGCCGCTCGGTGGCCGGCAGTTATGATAACGAGGGTATCGCCATCTTCTGCATGCTGCTCACTTACTACTTATGGATAAAGGCCGTTAACACTGGCACTATCATGTGGGCTACTATGACTGCTTTGGCCTATTTTTACATGGCAAGTATTATATGTTATTTAATCATACGTGAAACCAGCCATACTCAATCTGCAACTCATAGGCCACTTGTGGCCAGCCAAACTTATATGTGGGGCCCAAAACACTATTATTAGGAAGTTGCTTTTTACATCTACATATGATCTGATATATGTGACCTGAAGGAAAAGAATGTTGTGTATATACTCCGTCCAATCATTTATTTAACTTTTGACATGTGCATGCCTCCGAAATTCTATAATTATTGGTATGCATCCATTAACCGTAGACAAAAATGCAATACTTCCTGGACTCTTTTATTGTGTGAAGTGACATGCTCTTTAGCTCTTATATTTATTGAGCCAACAGAGTATGTAACGCAAATTATTCAAGTTGTTAAATTTTTATACCTGTCTAATTATAATGAAATGAAATAAATTATAATTAGACAGGTATAAAAATAATAATAAATTCTTACTGTTTATTATAATGAATCATCTGATTCCTCTCCATATGAACGGGAATCATCACTTGAATCCTCATTAACATTAATTATTAATTCTTGAGTACACAAATTGTCAAATGCAACATCACGATCCAATCAGACAATATCTTCTTTTTGGAACCCACTCTAGATTTAAACTTCTTCATAAATAAAATCAATTGTTATAAAAAACGAATCGGAAACATATTAGAACATCACTAATTGATTAGAATTCGATCTGTCAAAAGTTAAATAAATGGTTGGATGGAGTATATAGCTGATTTAAAATGCTAATAAACGTGACTGAATGTTACGTTTCGCACGACATCCATACTAAATTCGGATTTGTTACGGAGAACCATTAATCTATGTGGTTAACTTAAATAACTGAGTTAGGTTAGGTGACTTTTTAAATACATTTATATTAAACTCTAAACTCAAAAGAAATGACCCTAAATATTACCTGATTGAATACTTTAGATGGTTACAGTTGACTAGTTCTGTTATCATAAAAATCAATCACAGATTAATTAGATGAAAGATTCACATCAATAAGTTTAGGCAACTTATTGATTTTTGCACTTTCATACAATTAAAACATGTTATGGTATGTTGCAAATGCACATACAAGTTAACATTGAAAATTTTGACTTTGGCACATTCATAAAATTAAGTTTAAATTTATTAGGCATACAGTATGTTGCCAAAAATTTGTTAAAATTTTAAACTTGTAATGAAATTCATATTGTGAGTCCTATAATTTACTATCACAATCATTAACCATTAGTCCTTACAGCTAAGCACATTTCTTCTCCAAGGAGAAGAATTTGGGCCAGTACCTAACTAATCAACCGTGCTGGCCCAATACTTTTTTGTATAGATAAGAAAGTTTTACTGATGGTTCCAAGGACGTCAAGAGTGTTGGCGCGGCCTTTTACGACCCGCAACAAAATGTATCATTCAAACTTAAATTGTGTTGTGAAGCATGTATAATGAGAGCGGGCTTATGTGCCATAGTGAAAATATCCTCTGTGGATGCAAACAAAATCGGTATTCTCACTGACTCTAAAAGTGCACTTCAACACTTGGTTTGATGTGTCTTTGGAAGTTCCAATGGATACCATCACATATCGGTCTTCTAGGAAACGAGATATCAGACAGACTGGCGAGGGAGGCTATTTCCGAACCGTTGGAACCATCAGGTATACCCTTTGCCACAGGATTTATCCCATTTGTAATGGACCTAAATATCGATCAATGGGCTAAGAGCTATGATGAGATGCCTGTGACAAGGGGTATATGGTACAAAAGTATGCAATTGCATCTGCCAAGAAAGCCCTGGTTCAAGGAGGGTAGCCTATCAAAGTCAATGTTAATAATTGCTCTTAGACTGTGTTCTGGTTATATTCCATTAAATAAATTTTACTATCTCATAAGAAGAGCAGTATCCCCTCAAAAGTTGGAAGACATGCTTTATTTAATGGAATGTGATCGATATGCGGACCGTCGGGCCCAATATCAATTAAAAGACATTGGTCAGGCAGGAGAGCTAAATTTAATGCTGAACAACCCGTTGACGAAGATTGCTGAAGCTCTATACTCCTATGTGAGGTCTTGCTTTCTGTTAAGAAGCAATACCCCTCATGGGAGTAGTGACAGATAAAGTAGGATAGTTATTTATATGTATACATACATTACGAGGCCGACATAAACGCTCGAACGTTTCAGGCTTCTTAAAAAAAAAGAAAGTGCATGCTTGACTTCCATCTCACCTGATTGAAAGTGACAATGAGGTTGATGATGGAGTATACACGTCTATATAATGCTTACACACTCTTAACTCGAAAAACCTCAAGTTAAGAGCATGCATTAAGCATGTTGAATCACGTGAATGCTCTCCAACGTGCGGGTTTAATTACGATGTTTTCCTATACCGTCAAACTAGTGATAATTTAGCGAACCAAATTGCACGTAATGCAAAAACACTTAATATAAAATGGGATCTACAATTGTGATGATTTAGAATCGATTTTCGAAATAATTTCCTTTTTCAGGTATCGTCTTGGGGCGGTTATGTGTTCCTAATCAACTTGATTCCCCTTCACGTACTCGCTCTCATGTGCCTCGGCCGTTTCTCGGCGCGTGTATACGTCGCCTATAGCACTCTGTATTGCGTCGGCACCATACTGTCTATGCAGATTTCCTTCGTCGGATTCCAGCCTATTCAAAGCTCGGAACACATGTTGGTGAGTTGGCTATCTTTTATATTGTCATGCGCTTGGCAGCTTATTATTTACGAGTTCGATTTTTCTTTTCATTAAGTTAGATTGTAGTTCAAAGTGTGGTCACATAAAAAATTTTGTTTTCGAAAATGTAAGTAATGCATTTTTAGTATGTAACCGGCAAGTCGTGACTCATGCCTAAATTTTAGATACCTACCAAGAAAATATCCTTAAAATTGTAAATACGTTACCAACCAGCCAATGACGTATTTAGAAAATAAATACGTCACTGAAAATACTATTTTTTACATTATTTATATGATTTATATTTTTTTATTGTACCAAAAACATGAACACGCTGAAGATGGATTTGAAGTTCGTGTTTCTTCTAACACCAGAGATATTAATGGTTAAAATTCAATGATGAGGAGATACTCCGCCTCTTTTTAGTAAAATCAACGTTGGTAAGGCGACAATAATGTGTTACGTAGAAATAAGTATTACCGTTTGTTTTGACAATAAATTTCTAACTGCCTGTAATTGTTACATTTTTGCAATTATTTTTTATACGGTTTGCAGATTTTGTCTTTAACTTAAGTCTAATTTTTAATATTTTAAAATGCATTAAGTGTTTGTTACTTGTGAAATACCCTATTATTGGAAAATGGTTAACTTTACAATTTATACAGATATTTCATTACTTAATGGAATTATTTCATATTTTCATTTATCATTGAAAGTTAATAACCAGTGATGGATAAAGCATATAGTAGTTGTCAAATATTGTGATGACAAGTTTTTAATATTTTTTCCACCATCATTACATAAATGTTCCGTCTGTGCCCTTTAACATTTCAAAAAGTCCTTTATGCATCTACAACATCATATAACTGGTACAAACTATAATTATTTTGTTGAATATCATATTTTTACTACCTTGATCGTCATATATTTTTTATAATAAATGCTTATTTGTTTGTTATTATTATTTGATACAAAGATCGAACAAACACAAATAAAAACCCTTCGATCTAACTGGACTCGAACCAGGGCCGGTTGCCTCACTGTAGCTGCCGCTCTTACCAACTGAGCTACAGATCCATGGCACACACTATTTTAGACGAAATGCAGAGAAAACTGGAAATTTATTTGGCAGGCATTTGTATGTATAATTAATTTTTCCAGGCTCTCGGCACGTTTGGATTATGCCAACTGTATGCGTTCACCCAATACCTACGCATGCACTTGTCTCCACCCAACTTCGAGCTGCTGTTCAAAGCGCTGCTTACCACATTATTGGCTACATTGGGAACCGCTGTTGTCGTTCTCACAGTCATGGGTCAGTAGGTTTTTAATAAACTCTGCTAAGTGCGTAGTCACACGAGCTGCATAGGAACTATAAAAAAGAGTTTTAAATGTTACATGGTTATTTACTAGTAGTAGTAGAGCTCCTTGTAAAATAATTCGTCCAATATAGTACTGCCACCTCACCTATTTCTGCGGCCAAGCAGTAATGTCCGCATTACTGGATTGCGGTTTTGAAGGGTAAGGGTGCTGGTAAAAGTACAGGCACATTGGACTTGTCAACTTATGTCTAACAGTGACGGGCGCAGTGGCAGCGCCCCTCAAATCTTTGCGATTTAAAGCTCTGAGTGGCACTGCAACTGTTACGGACAGGCGTATATAGTCCATTTCGATACCTCCATTGAACACTACGCCATTTTTATTTGTTGGTCATCTTCTGTTATTTTTGTAAACAGTCATATTTATTTGCCTTAGTAAGTATGGCTGCTTAACATAAATATAATCTTAATTGTGCTCCCCGAATTTTGTGAAAAAAAGAAACAAGAAAAAAAAAACTAATTTTGTAAAAAAAAGAAACAAAAAACAAAATAAAAACAGAGCAGGTCCAAAAATTAAGTTGGCTTAGTGTTCATTGGAGGTATCGATTTGTTTAGGTACTTATAAATAAATAAATAACGCACACACTCAACATAGCCCCGTTTTAGGGAAACCCTGTGTCGTGGGTGCCATGGACACACACATAGACAACCACAAATTACAACCAAACTCACGAGAGAAATAAATGTAGGCCATACAAATATTTCTCCCGGCCCGGGAATCGAACCTGGGACCTCTGCGTGGCATGATAACCGTTCGGCCACGGAGGCAGTTAATTAAATGTAAACAATCTTAAGACGTCTATTTAATAAAATACACATTTATAAAATGATTTTTACTTACCTTCAAAATACAAAATACAAATACTTAGCTTCATATGAAGTTCTATGCCTATTTTTATACCTATTGATTTGTAAAGTATGTTTCAATAAAAAGATGTATCAAGATCTAAACAAATCGACTATAGCTTACCTTCAGGAACACGACTTGTTCGTCCCGTCACTAGAAAGTATAAAAAAAAAATTTTAAAGTACAAAAGGATTTGCCCTTTTTATATTCCTGTATTTCGGTGTTTACTACAGCAATAACAAACACAAAAATGATTCGACTAGTTTAATGGCGGCAATTGACATGGCTATTTGTATTCGCTATTGGGTGTCTGTTGTACTTAAAAAACATTTGACGTATAGACAAATATGCAGACATTGACAAATACGGCCGTCTACACACGAAGCCAAAAAAGGGAGTTAAAATAATGAATATGCCATAGTATGTACAATTTACTTGCGTATTTGCCTATTTGGCTCCTTTGATATACGTCGAGATACCGACCAGTAGTGCGATTCACGTAAGTTCAAGCTATCAAAATATCGTTGAAGTTACGTAGTCGTTCGATCGAAGTCCTATCCAAAATGGGTATTAACGTATCACTTGAACGAACGTTGATATGAGTGGAATCGAAACGTAACGACTAATGAACGACATCTTGGATTGTGAAATTTAACATTGTCTTCAAATTTGTTTATTGAAAGAGCTGTCAAAATTTTACCAGAATACGTATGACTTGTCGTTTAGAGTCGATTTAAGTTCGGTTCACTTTAACGACGTTTGGATCGAACGACTTTGAAATTGGACTCGTTGACGATCACTGTCACACGTGAATAAGAAAAAGTAGTTCAACCATTGACCTATTAACAAATGGACGTCGGGTGCGTCAATCGCGCAGCAGTCTTCGTTTGTTCGACTGACAACGCGGTTGTCAATTATGCAGTACTATATAATAACTTGTAAAAATTACTGCAGTAAAGTGTATAAACAGGATTTTGTATCATATTTTCACTAAACAAATATATTGTGTTATAATAGTTATCATTTAAAAGTGTTATTTTGTACAGTTGTATAGTATTTAATTTATATATAAATTAATCGTAAATATAAATTACAAAAGCAAACAAAAGAATTAGATCGCTAACTGTCCTTTTTCTACACATACCTTTTTCAACACTTTTGTGCATGCATGCACAAAAGATGGAAAGAGACCCATTACGTCAATTTCAAAAAGCGTATATAAACTTCTTGGTCATTTTCAATTGTTCGAACCGTAAGCGATTGAAATATTTGGAACAAAGAAACTATAGAGTCATATTGATTGTAATCTTATTTTTAAATGACTTTTTATTACACGTTAGCAATAACTAACAAAACATTGTTGTACTCGTTTTACGGCTAGGGATTACCTATCAGAAGTCAGAAAATACATTTGCCCGAAATAACGTTAGCTCGAATTTTCATAATGTGAAATGTATTTTTTTAGGAATATTACAAAACAAAAGCTAATTTTGGCTTTGTGAGAAGCATCAAAATTACTTGAAAGCGTAACGGTTTTATTATAAATCGGTTTTCGGAATTACGGATATTTGAGTTTACGTTTAGTTGGAATATCGGTACATTTCTTATAGTACACGCTTATTTTAACATTTGTAGTAATATTTGTATGTATGTATCTGCCCAACTCTTTATTATTTCTTTAAGTGAATTTGTACAAAATTCGACATAATAATATATATAAAACTTAATTAACATTTTGGAGAAAGGCTACTCCATTACTCTTGTGTTCAAGTACAAGTTCTTGTGTTAAGTTCCCAGTTGAAGCTGAGTATGGTATTTTTGGACCCTTAAATTGTTGCAAGCAAAATTAAGCAATACTGCAATGACGTTACAATTTAAATTAAATATTTTAGTTTTTTATATTTCTTTACATGTCACTACGTTTATAAACGGTTAAGTTCGGACGTTTTTTTCGTGGTTTTTATATTAGACCCGATGTCCATTTGTTGGTAAGTCAATGAGTTCAACGACCAAATCGCTACGATATCGTAACGGTTTGATTACGTGAATCATCCCCCAGCGCGCAATAACGCGTCTCTATTTCTTGTTATATACTCGATGTTGCTGTATTTGTCGAATAGGCGAATAAGGCAAATACTTTGTCACTCATGTTATCTACGCATGACAATTGTTTGCCAAAATATACACACATACTAATAGCCATGTGAAGTGCCATCGTCACGTGTAGATACAGTGAATGTGGTGTCAAAAAAAATTTGTAACAATGGCACCGCGAGAAGCCGAGGTTATACTCTAACCTGTCATCGTCAACAGCGACAGAGTATAGACAGACATAAATGTTATTTGATTTCTAGTTCCAGACTTAAACATGTATAAAACATACTTTAATTACCTCGACGTTTCGGACGTGTTTCAACGTCCATGGTCTCTTCTAGCCGTGCGAGTTGTTGTAACTACCCCACTTGGTCTTTATTATTTGTTAGTGCACTAGGGTTGTCACTAGACCAACACACAACACTCACGACATCCGGTGACTTGTCGAGTGATCGACATCAAGTATGAAAAATGAAATAAGATGTGAAAATCGTCAAAGTTTAAATCAAAGTACAGTATGTCAGTCTTTAAAACAGTAAACTGCCGCCTGTCAGTCAACCAAACAATTTCTATTTTCAGGAAAGATTTCACCATGGACGGGAAGATTCTACTCCCTCCTTGATCCGTCATATGCTAAGAACCACATTCCTATTATTGGTAAGTAGACTTGCTCAGCAAAGGTATGTATATGAGTTAATGATGATCATACGAAAGCAATGTCCATTTAATACTTGAAAGTGCTAAACACTCACATTTTTAAGAGTCTATACAACCTCAAATGGCTTAGGTTCTTTCCGAATAACAGTGAAAATGTTGAATCAATCAATTTGGAAAAAATATGTAGTAAAATTGAGGATATACACTGATTACTTTAACTGCCTCTGTGGCCGAACGGTTACCATGCCGGACTGCCACGCAGAGGTCCCAGGTTCGATTCCCGGGCCGGGAGAAATATTTGTATGGCCTACATTTATTTCTCTCGTGAGTTTGGGTGTAATTTGTGGTTGTCTATGTGTGTCCATGGCACCCGCGACACAGGGTTTCCGTAGTGCGGGGCTATGTTGAGTGTGTGCGTTATTATTATTATTATTACTATACAGTGTGAAAACAGGATTCCTAAAAATTATCACGATAGAAAAAAACACAAATTTACCTTGAAATTTTACAAGAAAACCGCTGTATTCAATAGGTACAGTCATATACACAAGATACCTGACCCTCCAAGCGGACTTTCTCGACCTTTTTAAAAATTATTTATTATATTATATATTATTAAACTTGTTTTTGGTATGACTCCCTGGTCGCCTCATTAGTTAATTACATTGTAAGAAAGTTTTTAAGCCAATTTGATTGTAACATATAGTTCTTACTTACATACAGAAAACAAATTTCAACCAGCTATAGTAAGGCCGTCGTGGCCTAGTGGTATAAGGATTGCTTTGCAAGTTGAGGCAAGCATGTTTCGAGTAGCTTTAAAAATAAAATATAATTCTATATTATATAATACTATTTAGCTATGTAATTGTTTTTTTTATAACCTCTGGATAGGTGTAAGGAATGTTCTTGTTCATACAGAACAATAAATTCGAAATTTAATAATTCCGTCAAGTGCGGCATATAAAAACAAGAAATAAAACCAGTCAACCCGTGACCATGGAGCGTGCAACCGTTCCGAAATATCGGGAAAATAAAAAGAAGTCATACCGTGGTAAGAAACCTGATACTAGTAATAATCATTTAGTGAATAACCACGAAAGTCTTAAAATCTATATAAGAAATAAAACTTTGAAAGTAATTAAAACTGAATTGATAAATGGGAACGAAACGTGAAACAATGCGTAATCACAGAAGACACGATCGTATGCATACTGCAGAGAGATTTCGTGATTTGGTAATCTATCCATACCCACCCTACGCTTTATTAATAATATCTATCCACCCACCTTAGGCAATTTCTAGTGAGCAAATATTGTGATTTGTCAACGTTAATATTAAAAAGTGAAACAATGCTTTCAAAAATATAACGTTAAAACAAATAGTGCTCGTGGAATCGAACTACAGGTATTGTAACTGGCAGTCCATACAACAAGCCGCTCGACTAATTTACTTGGATGGACGAAATTTAGAATTGGTTTTAAAAATATGTTGATCATCTGTTGTATCAGCAACACTCCACTGTATTACTTATACAATAAAGTTGAAATTGTTTTAATTTTCTTTGTTCAATACATAAGATGGCTCTCAGAACCACAAGGTCAGTTTGGGCATGTTACGGGGTCAGGTATCTCGTGTATATGACTGTACACAATTTTTTTTATGTCAACTAAACTAAAAGGACATGTATAGTATACGATATACATTTTTCAAATGGCTTCAATTTCGTTTGATATTGACATTGCAAAATGAACCGTATTAGTACGGAATTTTTTTAAATCGAGCTGAGGTAGTATCGACTCTTAAGTGGCGCATACACCGTACGGGAAGGCAGAAGATAAATGAAGATAAATTTATCAATGTATATTTTATGTTATTTGAATTGCAAAAAGATATAAATTTAAATGCTCTAGGACCGACCACCGTGTATCGCAACAGATTTTTCTCTGCGGTATTGCAAAGCACGCTAGAGAAACAAAATCCTCTTCTATGCTCTGCCCCGCCGTCTGTCGGTTTGCGTTACCCCTAAATATCCCGCTCCTAGACAGATTTGAAAAGCTGATGGAATGTTTGATTTTAATAATACAAACATAAAATACCACAGTGTCTTAAGGCAAAAGTGTTCGACCAGTGTATTATGCCAGTGATAAATTACGGCACTAAGACGTGCTCGCTCACTTTGGGCCTATGAGGCTCAAGGTCACTCAAAGGGCAATGGAAGGGCTATGCTCGGAGCTTCGTTGCGAGATCGAATCAGTAACGAGGATATACGCAAGGGAACCGGAGTAACTGACATAGCCCAAAGAATTGCAAAACTTAAGTGGCAGTGGGCAGGGCATATTGCTTGCAGAACATATGGCCGATGGGGCCGAAGAGTTCTCGAGTGGCGACCGCGTTCCGGAAGACGCGCCACCCACATGTGTGGATTGATGATCTGGTGAAGGCTGCGGGAATCCGCTGGATGCAAGCGGCACAGGACAGGCCGTTGTGGCATTCTTTTGGAGAGGCCTATGTTCAGCAGTGGACGTCTTTTGGCTGAATTGATTTTGATGATGATGAAACATAAAACAACACCTTTAATTTTTAGCGTCTGTGTCCGAACATCAGCCGACGTCGTGGTCATCGTTCTACTTCGACCTGCAAGTGCTGGTGTTCCTCTTCCCGGCCGGTCTGTACTTCTGCTTCGCCAAGCTCACAGACGCTAACATCTTCATTATTTTGTATGGCGTCTTGAGTATTTACTTTGCGGTAAGTAGATTTTATTTATTACGAGTTTTAAGGTGATGTGTTCGCCATTGCTACACATTGGAAATGAAGCTTGTTTTTCGGGTCTAAAATCGAGTATAAATTTTAATACAAATATCGAACACTAAGAAGAATTCCTTCCACCACCCTTCCTACCGTGCCTGATTTAACAATTCTACGATCGGTAGATTTAAGCACATAAGCCTAAAATAAACAAAGTTTGTTGTTCCATGTTGCTCATAATGTCGGAAGATAAGGTTGAAAACGATACCAATATAATTATTTGAATCAAATAAATTGGTCACAGCCTATACCGGCTTTCCGGATATCTACTTATTTGGTAAATATTAACTAGACAATACGGGAAAGTTACAAGCCTTATCAAGTTTGGAAAATTTACTTCAAGTTTTTAGTTTCTTTCAAAGATCGATCGATAAATTGTTATTAGACAAAAAAGAGTTAGAAAAAAATGATGAAAAAGAACGAAGCTTGACTGCGTTGAGAGGTGTCGAGAGTCCTCCGCTGTCTCCGCAATGTGATGTTTTAGCACTTTGATCGCTGATGTACCCACATACCCTTACCTTTAAATTACCTTCTACGACCAAGCAAATAACCTAAACTTATATTGTATTCACAGGGAGTCATGGTCCGTCTTATGTTGGTCCTGGCGCCAGTAATGTGTATAGTATCCGGAGTTGCCGCATCAAGTCTCTTGAGTCTTCACGTCAAGGACATAGAGCCGAAAGTTGAAAAGCAGGACAAAAAGAAAAAGCATGAAAATAATTTGGCATTCCGCTCCGAGGTAACTTGGATTTTATTGGCTAATAAATACGATATGTAACGTTTCTACTAAAAAATATTCACCTAATTTTAAAAATTACTATTTTCTACGGGCCGTAATCAGATTTTTTCATCTCTCTTCTCTTTGAAGTCAATACTGCTCCAAAACGGCTTTACGTCTTGAGATTCACTCATGACTTCTTAAAACAACAACCGAAGGTTAAGTAGACGTTAGGAAGAGGCATCGAGTATATAACCAGAAATAGAGACGAAATAAGGGCCATATGTTCCTGGTAACACACTAGCGATACAGCTCTTATAAATATCAACTCTCGTTTGCACTGAAATATAGACAGGCCAAGTACTGACCTGTGTGTACGTCTCCGTATATTATCCGTATATAGCAAAACTCAAGTTAAATGGTCGATTTGAAGTGAAACAGTTGACGACACCCGTCAATTGTTTCGAACTCGGGCTAGCCAATCGGAGCGCAGTTGTCACAGTAATGATATGGCAGAATAGTTTTCAAACAAATTAAATGACATTTCGTCTCTATTTCTGGTTATATACTCGATGGGAAGAGGCCAGTATCCTACAGTCAAAGTACAATAAGACAAGTAGGGCATGTCCTGCCTGAACAGCCGTAAATGCCTACACTTACTGCCAACTTGTCTATTTCTGCCACAACCAAGCAACAATGTTAGCATTACTGTGTTCCGGTTTTAAAGGGTAAGTAAGGGTGCTAGCGAAATTACAGGCACATGGGACTCGTCAGCTTATGTCTCCGGGTGACGGGCGCAGTGGCGTTGCCCCTCAGATCTTTAGATTTAAAGAATTAAAAGATTTAAAGCTCTGAGTGGCACTGCAAATGTTATGGGCAGGCGTATAGCTTACCATCAAGCGCACGACTCCTTCGGCCCGTCACTTGATATTGTAAAAAAACGCGGATCACGCCGCCGGTCGCCGTGATTTTTATAATCGACGCACATCTCTAATATAAGAGATAACGTACATCATTTTGATTGCGAGTATTTTGACAGTTGATTTTCTTTAATATAAAAAACAGGTCGGCGCTCTATTCGTGTGCGTGCTTGGCTGCCTTCTTGTCTCATACGTGTTCCACTGCACGTGGGTGACGTCAGAGGCGTACTCGTCGCCGTCCATTGTGCTGTCGGCACGCTCACACGACGGCGCGCGAATTATCTTCGACGACTTCCGAGAAGCTTACACGTGGCTCAAGATGAATACTCCCGAGGTATTATTATTATTACTGGTTTTCTTTTCTCAGCTCTTTGGCTGGTTTGACTATATTAACGAAACGAATTCAAGTAATTGCAATATGGTGTGTATCTATATTGAAAGTGTGTAACGATTTGAGTCTATTTAGTCTTCTATCTATATGAACTTTCTGACAATTCTTGTAGGTTTTATTGTCTAATAAATTGACGCTATAGACAAGATAATTATGGTTTCACTGAAATAATGCTAATTGTTTTGTCCGTAAACGGGTTGATTCCAGTCAGCCTCGCTAGCAGCATGAGGCGGTTGGATTTCTGAGGAGTGTCGCTTCACGCACAAATTCAGATGGCCGTCCTGCTCGGTACGGCACGTATTGTTCGTCGGTTCTTGAACCTGAGTTCCTGACCCCGGTCGATTGTGCTATTGTCGGGAAATACCGCCTCTCCCATTAAAAAAAGTCAGAAAATGGAAGAGGCGAGTGTAAAATAGACGGGGCAAAAATGGCGTAGGGTGAATGCACTGACTGACCTTGAGTTGTTCCCTCGATAGATGTGTGGTCGCCGGTGTTTATGCGTATGCCGAGGTGTTAGGAGGTTGTCGCGCCGCCCACTCTGGTCTCTCACTTCTAACACTAAGATGATTTTACGTAAATATGATTTTTCCGTAGTGCCGTTGAACAACTGCTACGGTGATATCGCGTCAAGTGCGACCGTTCGCTAGCGCGGCGTAGTTGCAACAGGACCCATCAAAACGGGGAATATCCTACCCTCAAATCTGTGCGTTTTTTTTAGGATAGGAATAGAAAAAAAAGGATAGGTTTAAAGGGGAGATGAGTAGATCATTTGTGCATTTGCGAAGATGCCTACGTAACAAACTTGACAATTAATAATAATAATTATATTGGATTATTAATAAATTCTTGGAAAAAAGGTTTCCGGTTTAGAACAAACTAAAATCCTCCTTATTTTTTTTTCTTTTATTATTTCCTCGCGTTGTTTCAGAAAACAATATAATATACACGGCCTCGCTGGGAGCGGCCTTGTGACCTGTACTCGCAGTCTATTACTTCCCGACCCCTGCAATAATGCACTTTTTCGTTTCAGGATGCAAAAGTGATGTCTTGGTGGGATTATGGCTATCAAATAACAGCAATGGCGAATAGAACAGTGATAGTAGATAATAACACTTGGAATAACACGCATATATCGCGTGTCGGTCAAGCAATGGCCTCGACTGAGGATAAGGCGTACGAGATTATGAGGGAACTCGACGTTGATTACGTGCTTGTTATATTTGGAGGATTGGTCGGATATTCTTCTGATGGTAAGAAGTACCTATTGATTTATAAATACAGTGTGTTGATTTGCATTCTCGCCGTATTTAAGAAATATTGCTAAATCATCTACAAATATTCTGTTCAATGTTCTGACTAATTGTATCTAGTAAAGTTTTGAGAAATTTCCGGAAATAATATGCAATGCGCGCGGGCAATGACCCTGCCACCGGCTTCATTGAGCGATATGCAATCCCTCTCGATCGCTTATCTAGCTAGTTTTTGTTATGATTATGTACTTTTTATTTTTATATGTTATTGGTATAAATTACTACTTATTAACAATTCTGCCCTCGTAACGAAAAAAGGCACAATTATGCGCACTTTATACAGCAGTTGTGACTTTTTTCGTTCAGAGGGCAGAATAGTCAGAAAAGTTGACTGAAAAAAGTTGTTCGTAACTTAGATTTGGTACTTCCCAAGCAGCAGAGACGATTTTTGCGCGCATTTCTTCGACACTCGTACTCTCCTTCGCGTAAACTAAACCTTTCACATCACCCCATATATAATAGTCACGCACTTGCACTTGACGCAGTTTGTGGTGAACCTGGTAGCGGTTCTTTTTTGCACTAACTCTTGTTTACATACCAAACCATGCGTCAAGGCAAACTACGCGAGTTTAGAATTGCGGTGGCACTTTGGATAGCCGAGTGCGTGAGCGAGCGTACTGTTGAGGTGCATGCGCCTAATGCGTTTGAGAAAGAGATATCAACTCTTTGGCGGTTACTTTATCGGCCTTCTGTGCTCTAAGTTTTAGTAGCACATGCCGTGCAAAAGTTAATGTCGTCATGGATTAAGCCGGTCAGTAAAACCTTTATGTCTATGTAATAAGAGCGGAAAAGACGTGCCTTTCGCATCGGCAGTTCGAACAGACGCGAAACGTCTATTTCACTCTCATTTCTTACATGGACGTAAAGGTTTTTCTGACCGGCTTTATGCGATTCCGTGTCGATAACTGTGGTGGTCATGTACAGTCACGCCCTTGGATTCCGAGTAGGCAGAGGCGATCTGTAGCCACATAGCACAATCCTGACAAACAACCTTGATTCTCTTACGTTCATCAGTCTACACTCTCGGATTTTTCTCCAGCCTTTTTAAGAATACTCTCAAGAAAGTGAAAACCTCGTATAAGCGTTTTTACCAATTTTTGTGTTGTTGAAGAAAAACCGTCTTACTTAAATATATTATTAAAATAATGTTAACGGTAATTTACATAATTCAGTGAATGTAATCATTCTATGTAACTATTTCAGTTAGTTAAATAGTGTTATTACAACTCGCTGTAAAATTTTAATAACACGATTATCAAATGCCAAAGACGCCATATACTGTTTGTTCTTTCTCTTACAAATATATAAACCAAATGCTTCTTTTTTACGCCGTCAAACTAAACAGCATATTTCGTCGTGGCATTGTTAATTCAGACATCAACAAGTTCCTGTGGATGGTGCGTATTGGTGGCAGCACAGATCGCGGCGCACACATCCGCGAAGCGGACTACTACACGCCCTCGGGCGAGTTCCGCGTCGATTCCGACGGCTCCAATACACTACTTAACTGCCTCATGTACAAAATGAGCTACTACAAGTTTGGACTCGTCTACACAGAGGGTGGTGAGTGATACCGAACCACTGTCGGTAACGCCGGCAGTATCTTGAATGGATATGACACAACGCCATCTATGTCTAAACGATTTCGATCCCCGAGCGGGTCAATGTAGAAACTAACTTTTCTATATTGCCTCGAGTCTGGGTATTTGTGGTACCGTCGTTATTTCCGGTTACAAGTGCTTTAGATACTCACTTTGAAATCAGAGCAGACGCCGACATATGTGACGTTGTCTAATATTTATTTACTATTAAATTGAGTGGTGAAACGCACGTAAATTAATCTTCTGTCCACACATTGTATATATCGACCCCTCCTACGTAAAGTATCGTATGTCGAAATTGCCAAGTTTACAGGGAAGCGTTTTAAAGTTCTCAATTCACTGCAATGAGCATAACACGTGACTTTAGCATTTCTCAGTTTTATTCGGCAAAGCTTGTTACTCGCATAGAGTATTGTTAAATCCTAGATGATCTACTAGATGATAACTCTTATGTCAGTAATGAGGTTTTCCCAAACAAAACGGTGAACTTTAAAACGCTCCCCTGTAAACTTGGCAATGTCGACATACGATACTTTACGTAGGAGGGGTCGATATTGTAATAGTACAAAACTCACTTCTGAACGCAGGTCGTCCGCCGGGTTTCGATCGCGTGCGCGGCGCAGAGATCGGCAATAAAGACTTTAACCTGGACGTGCTCGAAGAAGCATACACCACCGAACATTGGCTCGTCCGCATCTACAAGGTGAAGCCGCTGCCCAACCGGGGCGTCTGAGTAGTAAGAGAAGTTCGTTTGTTAAATAGAGTTCCATTATTGTAATATTGTAACCTAAGAGCTGGAGTTTACTCAATTGGACAGTCGCGAGCACGGGTGACATTTCAATATTGAAAACAATTACACACAACAGCAAATTTAGCAGAACATAAAAAGGTTGAAAAATAAAATACCTGTTATGTCCTTAACTTACACATTTAAAATGACAACTTTTAAATAGAAAACAATTTAATTTAAAAAGACTAAACTACAAAAAAGCAAGAATTGCCCTTTCTTCTTCTCATGTAGCTAAATTTGTAAAGAATTTCAAAAAACTGACAATGAGAAAACTCTCATGATCGTTTCCAAAGACAACCTGAAAATAATTGTATCCGTCTGATATGTCATATATATACAATTAAAAACCTCTCGAAAGTATCCGCTTTCGTCATTAACAATATTAATATTTATTACATTACATAGTATATTGCTTATTAAATTATAAAATAATTTGATTAATCATAAAAGTTAAAAACCAACCTGCTATATTTAACTATTATAATATAATATTTTTTTCATGTTTTGCTAAATATGCCGCCACTTGTAGATCTCACTTGAATACCTGTGTCGTTACCAGTTTCGGACACTATTTTTTTTTTTTAAGAATGGAACTTCTAAATAACAAATGAACTTTTGTTCATAGCACATTTGAGTTTAAGAATGCAAATTTCTGTAACTTGTAAATTCTCTTTACTGCCTAAGTTTGCCTTCCGTAGAATATATAATATTTGTATTTTTATTACATCGTGTATGGATTGTGTGATGTGAAGTGATTATTAATGACCCGTACACACGTACGTGCTTGCAAGTGGTATAAAGTCTGTCTTTTAAAATTATTTTAATTTTAAAATTTTGCCTACTTTCACAATACATCTAATCTGTACATGACTATTTAAAAATTTTATGAAAACTGGCAACCCTGCAAATGTCATTTTACTCCGTCTTCAAAAGACAGACTTTAGTTGTTGTGAACGGTATTATCAATAGATTGTCAGACGTTATTTTACCAAAAATATCTATACTGTGAATGTTACACAATTCTAACGATTACTAATTGCGTTATTTATTGCCTTCATTATTTTTATTTTGACAGTTGGCCTACTAGTACCTTAATTTTTTTTCATATATATTTTATTAAAAACAGGCGGATTCTATAATTAATTCAAACATTCAGTCGATAGTCGATAGAATATTTATAGATTGTAATCACTAGCTGTCACTGTCATTTTACTCCGAGCTCAAAAAAGACAGACTAGTTTTCCCTTACACTGCACATGGAAATAAGATAGTATATTCACTATCGTTAAGCTGGACCGTGTAGCAGGGCCTTTTGATGCAGATAGTACAGCTGCAACACTTGCCTGTTTTTATTACTATTTTAAGGTATTCTGCTTATAGAAGGTGGTTACTCTTTCTACAAAGTACACTCAGTTCCGACCCCGTCGGTCAATATACTCAAATAATAAATAGGAGATACCGCGTGACCACCTTCTGTTTGCGGCATCCCTATAACTAGAATTAAAGAAGTCTGAACTTATGTAAACAAATTGCACTCGAAGTCGTCATATACTTGACGGTAGTATGCAAGAGCACGTCTGTCAGATGAAGCGAATTTTAATTGAAACTGCTTATCTCCGGTAGTATATGTCGGAGAGAAATTGCTTTCAAATTTTTATGCATTATTTGCATTAGCTGTACAATAAATTTTGACATAATAAAAGATCAATGCTCACCCTAGTCTTTGTAGAGATGTCCTAAAATAAGAAAATGTGCTATGAACGTATTTCTTTTTCAATTTTCTAGCTAGTTGTGGAAGTTGAAGCGAATGTTATCTGTTTGTTGAGTGTTGTTTGGAGTTCGTCGAATCGGTCATAATGTGTGTCACAAATAATTTCACTGATTGATATGAAATCTTTATATTTATTAAATAAATAGCGTAGAACCACTCCGATCTCGATAGATTTTAATTATCGATAAAATGCTGATATAACTCCTTTAAAATAAAATTAGAATATTTTGGTGCTTTCGTATAAGTATCTAGTTCCATTTTATTAAGAACAGGTTCTACACTATTTACAATTCACAAAGTACTTTTTAATATTGTCAGTCACAAATTGCCTTAAAAAATTTGTCTAAAAACTAAAGTCTCAAAACCAATGTTTATTTCAATGCTGTTTGTTCGTATCGATTGTGGAAACAGTCGCGTATCAGTAAGTTGGAAGTCTAAATAATATGTTACAGTCAGCGGTAAAATGATATGACATTTCAAATCTATTTAGCCGATGTCTAAAGGATATTTTAATATATATAATACAAAGCGACGGAGTGAACGAAGTTGTGTGCATATTAGTTGCAGTGCCACTCAAGAGCTTTACATAGCAAAGTTCTTAGGGGCACTGTCATTGCGCCCGTCACCCTGAGACATAAATTGACAAATCCCATGCCTGGTATTCACCAGCACTTTTACCCTTCAAAACCGGAGTCTGGTAATGTTCACATTACCGCATTATCTATCTTACGTCAATTCAAGTTAAGGCCCATTTTCAATTGTGTTCCAACCATGAGTGCATTGTAAGCCTTGAGATATAAGGTTATTTTTTATCAAATGTTCCGATATTCTAGGCGGTGCAGGTCATTTTGACGCTGACTGTACATGTTTACAGAGTACCGTACCACTGCCCAAGATGTATCCAATAGTAAATAGAATCATTTATTATGATCATGTAATCATAATAATCTGATGGTCTTAGAAATATGGGTGCTTTTGTAGTTTAAATTTACCTATAATATTGTTACGCAAATGAATTCACAATTTTTTTAGAACAAGTTAAGCGCACAAATCCGATTATTGCGACAATGTTCGGTGTTCACTTGTATGTAATTAAACAATGTCTGTATGAACTGTATAACACTCCTCTTACCAAGATGTTTTGTATGATACTTGTGTAACTTAAACAAGAGTTGTATAAGTTTTTTTTAATTTGAAATAAAGTTTATTACGTAATTAATAACTGAATGATTTTTTTACACGTCTACCGAGAATTAAACTAATGTAGTTTACCTTCCCATCAATTTTACCCTTTTTTAGAATCTGTTTTGGCACACACCACAGTTAAATAAATTGGCAGTGTCCCGAATTTAATCGGTAATTGATTTTTAGTTCCTAAACAAAAGCTATTTTTAAACATTTCGTATTTTTTTCAAGCATCGATTTCATCGTCATCGCTGAGGTCCGAACAGTCTTCGGGCTGGAACGTGTCGTCGTTGTATCGGTTGTGGTTCGGTTTGGAGCGCTTCTTGCGTCGCTGTCGTTTTATAACTTGTGTAGGGCCAACCTAGATAGAACAATGTTTTAGGATCAAGCATTCAGTAGCAATTTTTTTTTCTACAATTTATATTGATTACGTAACAGTTTGTTTGCTGTGTGGCTGAGTGTACAGTACTATACTGGTTAGTAACTCTGTCGTCCTTATTAAACAACAATCGGTTACTAATATGTCTCGAATGAGTGAAACGAGATCCACAACCCCATTTAACGGTAGTTTCCCACCGGCGAGGCGTGACGTGACGAGAATAGAAATCTCTCCGGCCTATAACCACCAAAAAATGCTATTAATAGTGCACGCGAGCTCGCGCTGTGATTGTAGATAACGAAGATTCAGTGCTGTTCAGTTCATCTAGGGATTAAATACGCGGCTGAAATAACATGTCCCGTAAATTATTATTATTAAATATGTTAACGGAAAAACAATCGGATGCAACGTTTTTTTAAATCTCAAATCGTATGTGAATTAATAGACGTCGCGAGCTCGCGTGAGACTGTGCAGAGTATATAATACTCTTTGGAGGCAGCAATACGGTTCAATATTAACACAACCTAACCTCAGTATAGAGTACTAAAAACACCGACCTCATTCATCATCATTCATCTCCTAGTTTACCACCCTTAGAGGTCGAATATTATCTTCAAATTTAAATGGGACCACTTCTGAGGTACCCTCTTTCCAACAAAAAAGAATCATCAAAATCGGTTCACAAATGGCGGAGTTATCGCGTAACATACATACAAAAAAAACACAGTCGAATTGAGAACCTCCTCCTTTTTTTGAAGTCGGTTAAAAATAATATTTCAAAACATTTCCACTGAAGATGGACTAGGAGAGAATTGAAATTTTGTCATACAAATTTCAATCCACGTCTCGCCTCGCCGCGCCGGTGGAAAACCACCTTAAGCGGTTTTTTTACATCTTCGTTAGTTTCAGGTATTGTTAAGCAAAATCAGCATATTTTACAGAGAAAAAAATACTAAATGCTCATATTTCGAAAGTTACCAAAATGCAAATGCGTTTGTGCATTTGTGACAAGTATGGCAGAAGTGCCCAGTACGTGGACCTAAATTTCGTTGAATAAATCAGACAATAAACAAAATATAATAATAATAAAGACAAGTAGTGTAACTCCATACAAACGTAACGGTGTGGTTTGTATGTGTGCACGCCTGACGCGCGCCATGTACGGATGCACACATTCGCATAATCTCACAGTGCACTCAAGTTGCACAGCGCGCATCACACGCACCATTCTTTATAGAATTGGAGCGTTAGCACGGTGTTTATTTTTTTCATTTGTAAATGTAATATACAAACAAGCATTTCATGTCTATATTTTTCATGATCATAATCCACAGAACAATAAAATACAGTAGAAGTAGTTAGCGTCTGACGCGTGCCGAAGTAGGCCTCGAAAGACCTACTTGAGCTCAGTTCGCTGTTTTCGCTTTGTATGGTATGGTTGTAAAGAATGGCTTCTTTCGCATAAGTTCTATAAAATCGTAGAAAAATGCCTTATCGCGCTGTTTTGGATTGCAAAAATGATAACTGCACCAAAAATATTACCCGTGGTAGTATTTCAAATCATCGATAAGTCTTATTTTAATAAATTTTCAATTTTCTGATTATCTATACGAATGTTAGTCGTTCGTCGTAGTCCAGCTATTGGCCGCAAGATGGCAGCATGTTGAATAAAATTTATTTTTATTATTTTATTAATTAAAATATAAGATCACAACGTTGTAACTTGCAATAAAGGTACTGAATTTTCAACGATTGCGACGAGCGACCGGGTAAAGTATAAATTAATTATATCAACAATCCAGAATTTGTTACATATTTTGAAATTAGAAACTATAACTAATCATTATAAAGATTTCATAATGTTTATCATTTTATTTGTGTTCGTTTTGGTGGTTCCGATAGTAATCGAGGCTTAACGCCCAGTTACACGAGAAGAAAGTTTTCGTGAGGCGACCGCCCAGTTACCACGCCCTCATGTACATTAATGTCATGAATCTGAATTCTATTTATTATGCGACAACATTTGAATTCCTCTCAGTAAAATTACCGCTCGGGCCGCCGCGTAGTGCAAATTCAAGCCAGACTAGCCCGCGTGAGATACTAAACCGCGATGTTGGCATACAAAACATAAATAATGTAAGTACTGCATTTGACAAAAGTTATTTCAATAAAGCATGAGAATAATGTGATAAATACCCAAATTTTTACTAATTAATTTTGCAATTGCAACCCATACGTATAACGTGGCGACCCTACACTTCGCACTACATGTAGGCATTGACGCGCCAAACAGACGGGAAATGCACTACTTGTCTTATTTATTATACCAATACAAAAGGCACACTTCATTAAAAATATGAAGCAAAGAAATAAGACATACCATCCGAATCATCTTATATTGGCCAATTCCATCCATGAACGCCTCTTTGAAGGCCTTATGTAAAGGTTTCTTTTTTAATACAGCGCATTGTTCTTTAATAGCTTCTGCCGCTCCCTCGGGCAAATCTATTGAAGAAATGGAAATTGCAATTGAAATAAACTGACAAAGTCTGATATATTAGGGGTTAAAGTATGAAATTGCCGTTTTATTGCAATAGGT